TGCCTAACTAATAAGAAACATGAACAGCCTGGTACAAAAAAATGGTTTTGGTCTCTATAGCTAAATAAAGTTATGCATAAGGGGGCGCAGGTTAGCTCTACTGGTGGAGCGCCCACCCCTATTTTTACCTGTCCTATCAAATGAAGGCATAAAAAGCCGAAAATATTTTAAAAAGTAATGCATTATTAAGGGCATGGCTGCTTTGAATGACATTTGCATCACAGGTGACTGTTCTCTGCAATCAGGCTTCATTCAGCTCACCTCAGCTCCACCCACGCTCCATGTCTCTGCCCATTTTTGGATTAGCCGGTTCCCAGCAGTTAGGACTGCTGAGATGGCGACGACCAGAGCTGACCTCACTGAGCTTCACAATGGCTCTACAGAAAGCCTATGGGTGACGTTACAGAGACCACGTCCATGTTTAACTATGCAGTCTATGGATAGCGCCTGTTTCAGTGATATTTCAGGCAGACTGTAAAGCATTTTGACTGGTCTAATAGTGCGTTCGTTTTGTCTCGTAATCGCGACTTGCAGCTCGAGAGCGATGTCACATCCGTGTTTGAAAACGAGTAACCGCGGGTTATTGCGTTCTGTTTGGCACACAACACGACGAGCTTGGTTGCAATAGGCAGTTTGGACGTTTCGTAACGTTTATAGTGATTATCTGGTTTACGGTGCACCCACCGCGGATTTCACATATTCATTACATATTACACAATCATATTTCACAGTTTGATATCTGAATATTCCGTTTTGATTAACGTTAACGTTACCCTACTGCTCTGCTTTCTGCTTAAGACTCGGCACTGTTGTCATAGCAACATGGAGCGTCTCTAGCCAATTTCAGCTGCACAAGCTACAAAATAACTAATGAGGCGTATTTAACACATAATAAGACTGTAGCGACATGCCTATAGGTAACAGTATACAGAGCTATGTGTACGACTTTTTCATTTGGTTACAACAAAGACAAACGTGCTTAAAATTGTAGAAAACCACAATGTTTACTACGTGTGATGCTCAGAGTAGCCATCTTGGTGACTGAACTCGGGGTCCTCTGAGCTCAGACGACTTAACGAGTCGTTTTATACGTCCTCGGGAGCTTTCTATTTGCAACTTCCGGTTCGTAACTCAGGAAACCGACTCGGAGATCGAGTCGTTTGGACAAAACGAACGCACCATAATTGCTGTATTGGCTTAGACAGAACAGCTTGAGAGATAGACAGGAAAGGGCGAGAGAGAGGGGATAACATGCCGCAAACGGCCACAGGTCGGATTCAAACCTGGTGCCACACGCTGCGGCACGAACTCAGCCTTGGTATATGGGGCGTCAACGCTACCAGGGAGCCCCAGAAATAATTTCTTTAACCAGAGGGGATCCGGCATTTTGAACATGTCTACTTTTTGAATTGTCTATTGCTACTTGTATTTTCATGTTCAGTCAAGATGTGAGTTTAGACTTTCTATAGCATTTTGTTAAAGATTACCACCTGAAACATTTTAATAAATGAAAAAATATTGTGTTCACTGTAGTTATAGTCTGCTCTGAACATCATAACTAACTAATACGATGACACAAGCCAATCTACTGCCATCTATTAGTCCACCAGTCAGTCCATCCATCCATTGGTTACATCCATTAGTCCACCCAGCCCCTTCTTGTCATCTATCCATTCAACCAATACCTAATTTTTATTCTCAGCACGTACAAAATCTAAAGTAAACACAGACTAGCTGATTAGCTCATCAAATAACATCAAATAAGATATGATACTAGAGACCATCTTCTCATTCATCCACTGCCATCACTGCCTAAAACCCCACATTGCCCGTCACCCCAAAGTTATCTCACCGAGTACAGACTGTATGGACTGTTGTGCCTTCTTTATGGGAAGAGCAGCCATTACAAAACCATGAATGAGTGGTCTGCCACAGGCAAATCATCTGTTATTCACAGTGTTGGCTGTAGGTTTATACCCTATTGACTCAGTCAGCCTGATAAAGCAGGGATAAATGACCTGAATAGTGACCTTCCTTATTGCAAAGGAGGTTGTAACTCATCTCTAGTCTCCAGCTGTAAATCCCATGACAAGTTCTATGTCACGGGATTTACGCAATGTCAGCTTTATTGAAACTATATGATTTATACTGCCTTTACTTTAATACTATTTTTATAAGAAAGTGAATTTCTTGCTTAAATTGATATTTAATTATAAACAATTCATAGTTTTTACCATTACATCTAGCAATATAGTTCCCTACCTCAGTCATGCAGTCCTTCAAAGAAGTGTAGATAAAAAAGGCTCAGACTGGCCATCTGGTATACTAAGCTACGATGAACCATTGTGCTTACTCAGAGCCAATTCTGTACTTGCAGAGTTATGTCAGCAGATGCCACCTACAGAATGAAATGTGGTACTTGTGCTTATGACATGTTTTCCACCATTTGACATTGTAGTATGATTGATAACATATCTGGGAGTGTTCAACACAATGGCTCAGTTGGTCATTTTTAAAAAGCCAGTCAGGGTGAGTTTAAGTGGAGTAAAAGCATGGCAGTGCTTAGTGAGGATGTGATCCTCTGGAGCCATATTTGAGGAGCTACGTCTTCCCCAGTGATTTCACAAATACCGTATTCAATGTATTTCTGAACACACTGATAAACTGTGAAGAGATAGATGTTTTTTTTTATTTTATCCCATTTACAGTGTCTGAAATGCTGTTTCAAAACCAACAAATGAAAAATTGAAGAAGAGTGAGAAAAATCTAAATAAGTATCAGGCAGTGGTGGTCGGTGACATAACAGCCGCAATCAGCAATGTCTAATTCTTTCGAAAGAAAGACAGCAACCAGGCTGTGTGCATATTAATCGCCCTTGCATTTTTTTTTTCTCCTTCCTTCCTCCCCCTCTGTCCCCTCTTCATCACTCCTCCACTCCTTTCTCCGCCTCGCTCCTCTCATCTTCTAAGACTATAATCACTAGGCTTAAACTTCACTGTCACTTCTCAATGCCAGCGTGAATGTGTGCACTTGTGTGTCTTGCCAGTCTGTTTGTGAGCCTGCATGTACTGTACGTGAGTACAGTGTGTGTGCATTTGTGCATTTATTAGCCCATGCAGCTTGTACATGGGTGAACATATGCATTTCCATGTTTATGCTCTCTGCTGTGCTCTGCATGCCTGCACATAGAGGGTGGTCCACCCCCTAGTGTGTGTGTGTTTGTAGTTTGTATGTGGGATAAGATTTCAGCTTGCTTAATAACCATGGAATTCAGGTTGGCTAGCATCATTAAGCTGTTGTATAAGCATACACACGCACACACACACACCTAAATACATAATCTACGTAAGTTAGTTCGATATGTTTCTTGTTAAACAGGATAATGGACCAGTAATTTTTAAAAGGGATTTTTACAGTATGTATGCTTTGTGTTTAATTAAATTTCACTTAGTATGAATTGGAGCTGCACGATATGGTATGAACATCATATTGCGATTATTTTGACAGATATTGCAATTCTCAAATTTCCCCCAAAATTTTTTTTTCAATCATGATGATGTGTACATTTTTGGGGTCTGCACCAAATAAACATGTTTTCTTAAACCTCGAGAACAAGATTTGTAGACCACGGCACCTCTGCAACCTATTGCACTTGGCCATATTGCGATTTCAATAATATCTAGTTTAATTGTGCAGCCCTAGTAAAAGTAGAAAGGTAAAAAGTATTCATTTAAGTTTATTGTTTTTTTTTATATGCTGTTTGTGGTTTATGCCTTTTGATTGTTCTCTGTGGAGGTGACCTCTAGTAGCACTGTGTTGTTTTTGTTTTTGTTTTTTTAATGAGTGGGTCGACATTTGGTTTTTATGCACACTATCTTGTTAGTAATAATGGATGTAACTAATGCAGGTTTCAAAATGTCAAAACTGTTTTAAGATGAAGGAAATGCATTTAACACATTTGTTTGACCTCAAGGATACACACAATCTCTGAATGTAAACTTTTCAGGGCACCTTTAAGGTAATCCAATGACAACTTTGGACTTTGAAAAGAAAAAGTTCAAATTCCTATAATGAAGCTAACCTTTCTTCAGTCTCCAATTTCACAGTATTTTCTAACCCCTACACAGGTCAGTTTCTAAAGTTATTAGTTGTCATGCCTTAATAAAACTGGGCCCAGGTTAACATTAAACCCTAATTTAAGTAGATAGACTGATTGGACTGCCTTACCTTTTAATTTCATTGTTAATCTATCCACCCATCAGGGAAGGTACTTTAATACACCAACACAACTCTGATCTGGAGAGACAACACATCTCATTATTGCATTTCAGCTTTTTCACATTTATACCCACTGAGTGGAGTGTGCGTCATATCAAAGACAGAGTGGATTTTTAAAAATCAAACTTTGAGGGACTCCCACACATGGTCTCGCCTACTGCTGATTATTAAACAATGTTTCAGTCTAAACACCTTCACCAAGTATGTAGACAGATAACACTTACACATACATGTATATACACACAAATATATAGGAGCTGCCTCAATCATTCAGTTGTCTAATGAGAGGATTATAGTGTTTAGTTAACAGGTGATCACCTTCAGCCATTCCAAGCATACATGTCATTGGTCAGCCAATAGCACTAAAGAAACAAAAACATGCAAAATACAATAATTCCTATGAATCCTTAATTAACATCCATCCAACAGCTAGACAGTAACAAGTCAATTAAAGAGCAGTCATACTGAAAGATCACAAATCCAAAAGCATCACACATTCAGGTGTAAAAAGATTATTTTCAATATATTTTGGTCATACTTCGAAATGACACATCTCACTGCAGAATTTTGGCTTTTTCACATTTAACCTGATTGTCCCAAGCGGGCTGCTTCAATGTCAGGTCATAATGAGATAGTGTTTTCGCAGTCAGATTTTAAGAATAACTCCTCATTATCTCTCTTTCTGTCTTTGTCTCTGTCTTTCTTTCTCCCTTGCCCTTCAGATCACCAGAAGCTGGAGAGAGAGGCACGAATTTGTCGCCTGTTGAAACATTCAAACATTGGTGAGGACATGTCTTTCTATTTTTGCTCCTCTTACCACCAACATCTGTCTGATTAAATGATGACGTGTGAAGTGAAGACCTTTTTGTTATGTATTAATTCTCATCACAAAATAAACCCCATCTCTACGACTTTTTGTAATGTGAGATCAGTTTTTTAGATCTACTATCTATCACTGATCTCAGAAACAATATAGTAGTAACAATACACAGCACTGTAATACACAGTGTAACATAATAGTCATGTCTTTCTGTTGATTAAGTAGACCCCGTTATTGCCCAAACCCCCTACCTGACTGTAAATATATATGATGTAACACTCAATTATTATGACTCCCTGTGGTTTCTACTCTTGCTCCCTCTTAATCTCACTTTGTCCTTTTTTTATTCTCCTAGTTAAAGGCAGCAGTGTTACCCTGTGTTATTTAGTTCATTGGTTCCAGCTTAAACATTCTCTCTCAATCTGTTTATCTTTCTCTTCCAGTTCGTCTTCATGACAGTATATCAGAGGAGGGTTTCCACTACCTGCTGTTTGACTTGTAAGTCATCCTCCTCTCCTTCCCCACCCATGCCTACATATACAATTACATAACTCCTATATTACCCCACCCCCCGACCACCACCACCTACACCCTCCACATCCATCTCTTGGCAATTCCCTCTAGTTTCCATGGTAACAGTGTGGGAAGGGGGATGACTGGGGGAAGGGGGGTGCCGTAGGAAACAAGAAATGAAGTAGGAATCCTTGCTTTATCGCCTTGACCCCCCCCCCACCTCCTTCCAATCCAAGCATCCCTGTTTTAATATCTGTATGTGTTTGTGTGTGTGTGTGTGTGTGTGTGTGTGTGTGTGTGTGCACCAGGGTGACCGGAGGTGAACTGTTTGAGGACATCGTAGCCAGAGAGTATTACAGCGAGGCCGATGCCAGGTAGGAGCCGTCATTCCTGTATGTGTGAAATGAGTTTCTCCTTAAACGGTCTGTGTTTTGTGTTGTCTTCTCTTGTCTGATGTTCTTTTAATGTTACATATTATTCTTTTGTGACTCTGCTTTACTCTCTTTTATACTCTTTGCTCCTCTTCTGCTCATTTTCCTCTTTACTTTAACTTTCTGCTCTGCTCTCTCTTTTCCTTTCCCATTTTTTGCTCCTCACATCCCTTCTCTGCATGTTTTCTTATTCTTTGTTTTTTTTCTCTGAACTCTCTGTTTTTCCTTGTTTGTGTTTACTGTCCTCCTTTGTTTCTATTGCTATTTTGTCTTCTCTCCTGCTAGCTGTTTCCCTTTCTCTCTCTCTGTTAACTTTTAACTTTACCTCCTACTTTACTTATTTTTCCTCCTTCACTTTCACTGTTCGCTCTATCCTTTACATCAATGCCACAGTACTTCATCTCTCACAGCAGTGATCTTCATGTCCAATCCAAGGTTGGATTTTAAAACATCAGCTTTAAGGTTTTCAAATGTGAAAAGTGGGGTTTCAGACTATTTAGTATTTTAGTTTCAGACAGTTTAGTAAAACTGCCATTGAATGGGGAGGCAGCGAGTTAGTTACATTTCAAAGTGCAGCAGATGTTACATCAAATATCTTGTAGCTACCAGCAGAGTTCTGTTTGTAATGAATAGACAAGTGATTTCTGCAAAGTACAAAACATGTCACAGCAAATAGTTAATACATTAGTGTTCTAAAAAAAACAACAACAACAATTGACGCAGTCAATTGAAGTTGTCTGTAAAACAGTAATTAGACCATAACTCATGAAACCCCAAGACATAACAGTTATTTAGCTAACAATAATAAAAACTGCAAACTGCATGAAAACTTTAAGTATGTGTCTAAATGATCCAATTAGCTTGACTGGTGCAGGTGGTTCAGGGTATATACCTATACAGTTATGCTCCCCCTTGATTTTTCCCCCTTTTCTCCCCCTTACTCAAACAGTGGGAGAGATGAAAACAAGAAGTTCAACAGAACAAAACAAATGGCTCTTTACCCACCTTTAGTGTTTGTGTATGTGGACAGTCTCACCATTTATATTTCTTTTCTTTTCATAATTTTCATTCAGCCCTTTTTTTTAACTTTCTTTTTCTCCCCCCCACCACCACCCATGTTTTATATCTCACTCCCACCACTCCTGCTGACTCATCGACACACACAGTTCACTTTAACCAATGGTGGGAGAGGAAATGGAGTGGTGGGTGGGTGGACAGACAATAGACTGAGAGAAGAGTGAGAGAGATACTTATAAATGACAGTTGTGATGTGGGTGTTACTCCATTCAGCAACATTAAAAGTAAAACTGAATAGTCTGATATTGTAGAAATGTACGTCAGTGTGGCAAAGTAAATGGTACTATCTATGCCTAGATCTCTACTCCCAAAGCTGTTTGACTTGTAGCTTGAGAACTGGGAACTCAGGTAATTTGAGCAAAGTGTTATCTAGCTTGCTGGCTTTGTAACCAGGTTTTATTACGTTTTTTCAAAATGCTTCCAGTCACTGGTTCTCTTCTGAGTCCACCCTGTAGAAATGCCTTTTGTGTTTTTCACGAGTTTCATGACCACCGTAATTTCTCGTATGGAATGGGTCTGTGCCACTAAATCCTACATACTGGTCCTTTAAATATCCATTATGTAACATTTGATGAAAGAATGTTTTTTATTTTCGTTTTCCTGAGCTGAAAAATGTTATTTTCCGGTTTCTGATGAGTCTGTTCAATTAAATATTCAAGGATTTAAGGTTATTTTATTGTCATTATGAAATTTGATATAGTAACTGTTATGCTACTTTTAAAAACACAATAAAAATTTGTCAGTTAAATTATTCATAATAATGAAAAAAATATTGTGTATGACGAATCCTTGAGGAAGAATTTAACAGTCTCAAAGACTGAGGGGAAAAGTTGTCTTTAAGTCTTGTGGTATGGCAGCAGACATTTCTGTACCTCTTCCCAGAAAGCGGCAGGGTGAACAGGCTGTTGCTGGGGTGGGTGCTGTCTTTTACTATCCTTTGGATAGGCACCTCACCTCACCAATATCAGTGATGCTGGGTAGTTGGTTAGAAATGATCTTCTGGGCAGTTTTCATCACCCACTGCAGAGTCCTCCTGTCCTGGGCCATGCACACGTCAGTTTTATGTTTTCCAGTCAGGTTTCTTTCTGTCGCTCCTCTGTAAAAGTTAACAAGGACTTGGCACAGGAATACTATATATTGCCTTAATAAGTTTCCTTAAGAAATACAGCTGTTTCTGAGCTTTCTTAACCAGGGTGGAGATGTGAGATGACCATGAAAACTTCTCTGTGATGTTGATTCCCAGGAACCTAAAACTGTTCACCTGCTCCACCTCAGCTCCACTGATGTAAACTGGGGTGTGTGTCTTTGCCTCTCTTTTCCTAAGATGTTGAGCAGTAGGTTGTTTTTGAAGTTTCTCTCTCATTGTTTGAACTCTGGCCAGTGATGGTGGTGTCATTTGTTAACTACACAACAGAGTAGTCTCCATGTTGGGGAATGTAGTCATGGGTGTACAGCGTGAAGGGACTGAGCACACAGCCCTGAGGGGCTCCGGTGTTTAGCACAAGAGTGGAGGATGTGTGGTACTCAGTGCTGAGTTTACCAATACGATCCCAATATAAACAAGAGGCACCACTCTTACTCACCTTATAAATGCATTCATTTGTTCTATTTAATTCTTATAAAACTACATCAAGTCTTTTTCAGACAGTTTAGATTGCAAATGTTTTTATTCATATTATCCATATATTTGATGTACACCCCAGGCAAAATTTCAGTGAAACTATTTTAATTGTGTACAATAAGTAGCCTGAAAATAACATTGTTGAGAGCAATAGTGGCTTTGACTCACAGCTCAGCTCTTAGTCAGTGCCGTACACTCCCATCACCAATTAAATCAAGCCTGATATGGTCTATTATTTACCCATGCATGGCAGAACATCTTGATTTTTATGTGAACAGATTAGAGCAGTCACACTGCCCGTGTGTCATGGACATTATAGAAAGAAAAGTGTATGTGGAAACAGGGCTGGCAGCAGCTCCGCAGGAGCCACACAGCTGACACGCTCTCGGTGTGAACGCTGTGTGGTATTGGATGCAGCCATCACGTGCTGCTCAGGCAGCCTATGTGAATGAGCCGTTATAGTCATAGCTTTTTCACAGTGTGCCTGATTAGCTCAGAGGATGAATTCCCAAATAAAAGTTGGTTAATACAGATCATTTAATAACATTGTGAGTGTGTTAGTTTTTAAATATAATCTGCATGATATGTCAAAGTATAAAGTTACAACTAGAATATCCCTTTTTTAATGTATTAAGTGATTGTAACAGCATATCTGAGGCAGCCAGAGATACGTAGAATACAGAGATCTGACTTGCAGTCACTACATTTCTGTTCTGATGACTCAAACTGTTAACAAATATATAAATAAATAAGAAACTGACAGCTCTACACCCTGCAGCATAGCAGAAGTAGACTCATTTACACACACACACACACACACACACACACACACACACACACACAACGCATTTTATACCCAAATGAGAGAGACAGAGTGTGTGTGTTGGTGTGTGTGTGTGTGTGTGTGTAGCTCTGTTGGGCTGTTAACTTGTGAATTTAACAGCAATGTTAAGGATCTTTATACTATATTGGCTCAGTATCTTTAGGTGATAATTAAATGTGGTATTTCTGCTGCACACTTTCCGTCGGTCTCACTTGCTGAATGAAGTTCCACATACTGTATTGTCCAGCAAAGCTCAAGCCAAGATATGAGATTCTCATATAAGCATCTCTTATTTTGACTGTAAGCAGTACAAAGGCTGTTTGCAGTTGCATCTTGATAGTTTTAAATACTACAGCACTTCTTTAAGTCTTCAACAGTGCTTGTCTTTTTTCTGTCCTGCACATTGGGAACCGCAAGAGCTTTTACACTAGCAGATGAACTTTCAACTGTGCCTTAGTTAGTTGCTCAAACCATAAGTGGCAATGAAAAAATAGCGGGCTTATTCCGTTTTTGGCTTTTACAAGGCGTCATTAATTTTCTAAAAATTGTGCCTAAGGATTTCAGTTGGCTAATTATCTGTGAGTTTCGTCTGTTTGTCTCCTGTGCACTAAGGAGAACAGAACTGCATATTTCTTCAACAACTGCCAGCCATTTCTCCTTATGCCTGATACCGAGGAGCCTCAGTTTTGGCTTTCTCATTTTAGCGAGTTAACAAAAAGCTGAAGTGCATGCTTGATGGACTATTAAGTGTATCTAGTTTGTATACTGTTGTCTATTTGGTAAATTATTATATATATATATATTTCATAACATACTCTTGTGTGAGTGTGTATGGGCTGCTGTGAACCTACTGTATGGTATAGTACTAATAACTGCCCTCTAATGATTGCTCTCTTTCCCACCCACCGTATAACCCTTTCTATACTCATGTCTGGCTCACGTGTCCTCACACACACACACACACACACACACACACACACACACACACACACACACACACACACACACACACACACACACACACACACACACACACACACACACACACACACACACACTCACTTTCCTTTCCCCCTCCCTTCTAAATGTCAGTCATCCAGGCCAGTTCCCCTACCCCACCCCCCCACCTCCACCCTCACTCCCTTGGAGACCTGAAAAAAGTGGGACTTTAATTAGCCACGATAATTAGTCTCACACACACTCACGCACTCACACAGACCCCAAACTGTGCTGCATCATACCTTGTCACCTGTCAGAATCTATCAGAGTTTCTTTTTAGTGGTGTTTGATTTGATGGAGGCCATTATGAGTATAATTTGGGAGTAAATTACACCTAGTGTAAGTGTTTAAATCTTTCCTCACTAGGGAGCAGACAGACTCAAAAGCATTGGTGATTTGTAAAGTTGTTTTGGCTTACATGTTGGTAAACCATTACCCACATGCACATTCAGCAAACACAGTGCATAAACATGAGTTTCCTATGCATCAGTCCACTTGATGACTGAGTCTTTAGGAAGTTACTAGATACTGGATAGTTTATAGTTGAGTTTCCACGGTGAAGTATTTTACAATATTATCTTGTTGTTTGTACATCCTCACATTTATTACTATTGTGACCATGGCAAGAAACAGGACATTTTCCCATTTTTATTATGTTTTGCAAGTATTTCAACACCGTGTCTTTAAGTATTGAACGAAACCCGTGCATATTAGAGGGAGAGAAGGTGTCTTCTCTTCACATACAGACTGGCTCTGTATTTGATGTTCCTCTCAATATCTATTTACTTCCCTGCAGGGAACAGTGGGACATTGTTGCTCAAAGTGCTGAGCAAGTCACATTTGTGAGAAGTGTGACGAGGGCTGCAGTTTTTTCCTCTTTGCCACATCATCAACAGACGAGTCCTTTGTAGTGACATTATGGTTTTGGGCAGTGAGATACTAGAGGCACACACAGATGGACAGACTAAGGAGTGGGATGGAGATACTCTCCTCTTTCTAAATGCCATACACAACAGGTCACTGACAGGTCAAGCCATCTGTCCATGCATGCATTCAGTCAAGTTTCCCATTATTTTATATCAAAGAGCAAAAGGACATCGAAGTGTGAACACCTGAACATAGGACTGGTCATAGTGAAGAAATGAAGATTACATAGAAGGTTTGTTATTTTATACTTTATTGTTTATTAAAAAAATAAACATTAAGGAACAGCTTCAATGCAGGCATTTTGTTTCTTAAAGCAATGCAGAGCTATTCAGTTGTCAAGCATGTACATTGGATTGATTTTAATAACTTTAATGTACTGTGTCACTGGAAGTGCGCACTGGACACTATATTCTCTCTAAAAAATACTAGTATTGGATCGTGACTCAGCATCCGCAGATATTTTAATTTGATTCATTGTTCCAATAAAGTTAGCTCTGCAAAATAACATCTAAGATTACAGAGCAAATGAGGGTAAACACATTGTTTCACTGCCTTCTCTGGTTAAAAGTTTAAAGTATAGTGCAGCAGGTGGCAGACACCCACCTAGACTCAGGGTCTACACAAGGTTTCTCCCTCTTAAAAGGACATTTTTCCTTGCCACTGTCACCAAGTGCTTGCTCATGGTGAAAATTATTATTGACCTGCTCTATATGAAAAGTCTCCTGTGATGACCTCTGTTATGATTTGGTGCTATACAAATACAATTAAACTGAAATGAATCCTGAATCTCCTGAAAGGTGCCACTGTTAAATGACAGTCAACTTCCTGAGGTTTCTGTTATGAAACATATAAAACCTAACGGTAGGTTAGAGTCTTGTATGTTTGGTTACGGATTAAGGTTTAAGATTACGAAATGAAAAGTCAGCAAGTGAGGCTTTTTTTTTATTTTTTTATTTTTATAGAAGTATGTATAGAAGTTTGTGTGTGTGTGTGTGTGTGTGTGAGAGAGAGAAAGAATGTGTGAATGTGAGTGTTTATGAGCAAGCATGCACGTATATCTCTCTCCTTTTCTCTCTCTCAGTCCTCCCACTCACTAGACACTGTGTGGGTGTGGATCCTGCAGGCTGCCTGTCTCTTTGCGCCTGCTATTAGTCACATATTCTGCACATTACACTCTCTCACAACACCAACCCTACATACACACATATTCAAATGTACACACATTTGCACGCGCACAGACACACACACACAATAGAGTGAGGTAAGTACATGTATCTCTTGCAGTTCACACAGTGATGTGTTTTCCTTTTAGTGATGGAAAAATAGCCTGGCATCAACCCACCAGTCTTTTATGATTCAGTTTCATCCTATACATAAGTGTTCTATTTCTTATATCATTATCTCTCTTTGCTCTTCAGAGGCTTCCTATCTTCTCTTTCACAATCTGTCACCTTTTGTCTTTTCCTCTCCTCTCCTCTCCTTTCGTCTCCTTTTTCAGTGTTATTGTGATTTTTGTCCGGTGGGTTGTTCTGATGTGGCTGTTCTTGTCTCCCATCATGTTTAAAAAAGCAAAACAAAACGTTTTTGTCTCCTCCACCCGCATTCCCCCACCCATCTGTCCTCTTCCAACATCTCTATCTGCATCATTCCCCCTCTCTTCCACCTCTCTGTTGTCTACTGCCTGTTATCTGTCCTCTCCTCCTCCTCATTTCACCTGACATCTCCGTCACCTGGCCTCCTCTAATATAACCTGCCATTTTCTCATCTGTAAATTTGCCTTATTCATCTCGCATTGGCTCTGCCTGTCACCCTTTTCACCTGGCATCCTCTTTCTTCTCCTATCCATTTCTGTACCTTCATCACACTCTGTACATCCCCATTATCCATCCATGTCCATCCCTCCTTTCACCCCCCACCGTCCCTGCTCTCTCTGTTTTGTCTTCACAGTCACTGTATCCATCAGATTCTAGAAAGTGTCCATCACATTCACCAACATGACATAGTGCACAGGGACCTGAAGGTTAGTATATGTAGAGGAGCATCTGCATCCCTCACCCCCTCCTTCCCCACAACCTTTGCCTGCTTCCTTTCCTTGCTCCGTCCCTTTCCTCCTTACTTCCTTCCTCCTCCGTCTCGTCTATTCGTGTCCTTCCTGTCCGTTTACTGGTCTAATGTTCGCCTGTCCGACTTGTCTCTTGGTATGTTCTTGTGTTTTCTCTTTTCTATTTTATTGTATTGTATTGTATTTAGTTTTTAACTGAAGGACCCTGGCCTGCCTCACCCACCCTGCCCGATCCATTACTGCCCTCCCACCTGTTCTCTTATCAAGCCTTTTACAACAACTACATAACAAAAGCTCCTGTTGCACTGACTGACAACCAGATCAATCAATAAATGAGCCTTGCACACGCGCGCACACACACACACACACACACACACACACACACACACACACACACACGTACACACACGCACGCACAGTCACCCGCAGTGAGCATACACCCTTCTGCGGTTGTAATAAATATCCAGTGTTTACACATGCCCATACAACCATCAATTTCTCCCACCAGGCTAGTTAAAAAAAAGCCACAGATATATTTATTGTGATCTTCATTGATTTTTTTCTTCCCTACTCCTCCCTTCTCAATACAATACAATACAATAAAATAAATGACTCAAAGCTAAGTCATTTATTTTACTGTATTGATCCCTGTATTTTTAAGATTCTCATTCTCATTCCACATCAGGTATGTCTTTATAGAGGTGTTAAGCTGAACAGCAGTGTGTTTAAAACAAATTCTTTCTTTTTTTTTTATGACATCCTGATAAGTAATTCCTGAGCTGGTGGTTTGTGTATGGAGAAGCTTTTATCTTCAGTCATGAATTATAACTCAGAATAGTCAAACTCAAACCAGCAGTGTTGTAGTAAACCCTCAGGACAGTTTCACAGCATGCTTTTGTATTTTAACTTCTTTCTCTGTTCGACAAATTCACTACTGTAACTTTTAGTTTAATGCTGAAACAAAACTACTCCCCTTTCTTCTAAATATCTTTAAGTCAAACATATACAGTATAAGAGGTTAAACCCCATTAGGCACATTCAGTTTACACACATTTCCCCCCTGACATAAACATGAGTAGCGACTGCTCTTTTGAATGTTTCTTAGTATATTATATGAATAGCAATTAGTGCTCACACAGTATCTGCAACTATTGGAAATCAATGTACTATACTGTGATCATTAGTAATACAACAGGGAATTTTACAGTGGCACACTGAAGGCTTTGCAGTACACCTCTGTGCCACTCTAATTATGCATTAAAGACAAAATGTGTCTTTAATGTGTCAGTGTTATTGCTTCTTTATCATCAAAATCATAATATATAATATAATATATTGTATTGCCTAATTGAGGAGTTAGAGTAGTAGTTGTAGTGGATACATGCCTATTTTATTGTCACGTGCACCATCACTTTTATCCAGAACCAGAGTGAAAATCAAGAGCAGATTATGGTCCCGTGGTGCATTTGTGCCAGTGATCTGTAGACCTAATTATTCATTTCCTCTTTGAAGAATACTGTAAAGTGGGGTAACTTGCTAGTTTGCAACAGAACCATAAACAAATATGTCTTACAGCAGATTACATGTGTACACAGAAATACTGCTTATACATGTGTGCTTTAAAAAAAAAATACTAGGATATATGTCATCTTACAATTACATAAAAGGTTTTTCTGTGTATTCTCCTGTAATTTGCAGCCGAGGTTCCAACGTTAACGTTAAAATGATTACACTTGACTTTGTTTTCCTTATTTGTTATTCAGTACCGAAGACAGTAGCTTTCAGTGTAGTTAAAACAAGTGGTGAAAGGGAAGACCACAGAATAGATGTTAAAATACAGCAAATATGAGGTGTGATATCCATTGCATGACCACCACTAACTGCTAACTAACACAGGAACGTTTGCAGTAATCTCCTTCCATTGAGGACAGACACAAACACTCACACATGCAGAGGCTTCTCACCCTGCGGGTTACAGAGCTCAACAGCTGACAAAGTGGGGGAGGATGGACACACACACACACACACACACAATAAACTGCATGCATACCTACACACAGGCACACATTTATGTGTGAATGAGAGTGCAAGAGAACACACACATATTTAATTTGGTAGATGTCATTTTAGACTGCAAATTCACAGACACATGCGGCCACATGCTTTTGTTGGCTTTTAGTGATCACTCAGCACACACAAAAAGACAAACACACACACACACACACACACACACACACACACACACACACACACACACACACACACACACAAACCGCTGTTAGTGTTTAGGCTGTAAATGTGACCTGCCTAGTATTTATTCATTGGGAGACCTTTAGAAACAAGACACAGGATTCTAATTTATAGCCCTGAACTTTACAGCCATGCCAGTCCATCTCTCTCTCTTTCTCTCTCTCTCTCTCTCTCTCTCTCTCTCTCTCTCTGTCTCTCGTATGTTTGTTAGGTTAAAGCTTGTGTTTTAATTAAATAAAAAAAGCTTGAGGTCATTTAAAGGTACAGGAAATTAAAAATAATATTTGAATTTTTCCAAAGCTATATATAAGTATGAATGTGATGTACTGTGCGCTACATCAGATAACAGTTAAATTTACCATAGTTTCTTTAGACTTTTACCACACGAGTCCAGATACCAGGATGGAAGAGGCGTTGTATTAGATACAAGTGACATACAGAAGGCAATATAAATAAAGCAAACTTTAAGGCCGCACACAAGTAATAATCCATTTTACATAAACCTCTGAGTACTAAAACAAAGTCTTTGTTTTATTCTGTGTGTGTGTGTGTGTTTATATTTTTTGACACACACACACACACACACACACACACACACACACACACTCATTATCAGTCCTTGCATTTTTCAACAATACACAGGTCGGCATGCTGCTGTTTTCTAATCTGATGATTAGACTATTGTCAGTTGCACAATCGCAATGCGCTGCATAGAGCAGTAGTTCACAGTTTTCTATATTTACACCCTTTTCTGTGACAACACAATTCAGAACTGTTCCAAATATGTTTAAACCAGGAAGTAAATATTATAAAATTAAAGAAAAATAATACAAATTAATTAATTCATTATTAATTTCTCGTGACAATTTCAATCTCAATAGAGATATTCCTCTATTTTTATAACCATTTTATGACAAACACTTACAAACATCAAATGTTTTTGATAATAAGGTGCTTATTACAGTGCATCATGTTAAAGGGACAAATAATAAAGATGTATGTTTTTTTTTGGGATGAACTCATTTGCATCTTTATTGCCTGTGTTTTCCATGAAGTGAGTTTTGAAATTAAACAAAATATTGTATCTTACCCTCACGTTGCGATATTAAGTGTCCAGAAACTACTTGTTTTTTTTTTAGTGTAACTACTTTGCAGAAATAAGGCTCATCTAATTCTACTTCAGTTAGTAATTTGTCATTTCAAACTTTTTATTTAAACTGCATCTTTCAGAATACCCACAGAAAATATGCTTAAATATGCTTTCTAATAGTGTAGGTGGAAAGAGAAATAGTGTGATGAGAGCAAGAAAGATTCTTTATCCATTATCTGAAAGCTTCCCTTAAAGGTCCGGTGTGTCAGGGACCCTAAAGCCCTGGGTTGGTGGAAGAATGTTGTTGTTTCTGGCACAGACATCATCATTCTACCTCCTCACATCTGTTTGATCAAATGCAAATACTGAATGCAAATTCACTACCTTGCTGGATGACGTACAAATCGGTTAAACACAATCGCATAATTGGGCCTAGAAATGCTTCATATGAAATGTTTCAAAACCAACAGCTGTCTGTTAACGGTTGTGAGGCAGATTTTTTTTAATCCACTCAAAAAAAAAACTTTGTCAGTGCACAGGAGCACACATGCATGGTCCACACACAACACCACATCCCCAGCAGCACTGGTACTTGTGTGCGTGTGTGTGTAAGAGAGGGAAAGAGAGGGAGAAAGTGAGTGTGTTTATACATCTCTGGATCAGTCCACACAGCTGAAACAAGGCAATGTACTGTACATGGCCCTACGCTTGTACTTGTTGTCTGCCTCAATACATATATATATGTGTGTATATATATATACACACATATATATATATATATCTTCTTACCCCACTCATATATTTTATCTAGTCTCTGCATAGACTCAAACCTCAATCATCCCTCAATGTCCCTCACACAGTTTTTGACTTTTGGGTTTTTATTTTTAGTGTCCGGTAGCTAACTGACATCAGAATGACACTCCTTGTCAACAGAGGCCAGCAAGGCTGGCAATAGACATGACATTGATCCCAGACATATCTTTTAAATGTTATTAATTGCACAATGACTCACTCCTTCCCTTACCTCCTTCATCAACGCCTTCTGTGCCCCCCATGGCCAGCCACATTCTCACACCCTCTTTCATCACCCAAGGCCTGCTGGCTAAAACATGGAGGGAGGTGGGCTATCTAGAATCCATCTACAAAGAATAGGGTGCCTTAGACAGAGATCAGACTGTATCCATTGGTTAGGTGCGGAATAGATTGACTCAAAGGAATCTTCTGTTGCGGAGCACCCGCAGTTATGCCCTTCCAGGCCAACCAAGTGAAAACCATAGCCACAGCCATCCCCAGAAACCTCACTAATGAAGGACATTATCTGCTTCGCTATAGGGTCTTTGATAGACTTTAGTCCCACAGTTGCCATTTTAAACTTAGGTCACCTTTTATGTGGGAAGCTCAACACATACAGTATAATAAAATAGGCCTTAAATTTGGGCCACAATGGTTAGCTAAACCTAGCCTATATAACTAACTAGTTTGAAGCTATTTATGTAACCCCTGATTGGCTATATCCTCATTGTCCTGGGTGTGTGTTTACCTGTGGGTCAGCCAAAGCGAATAAAAGATGAGAGTTTGATGTCTGGCAACAGAAGACCCCTTTCAACCCCTGTTGTACCCCTTAATCCCCTCCCACTCCTCCATCATGCCTCCCCCCACCTTCCCTCCCTCCCCTCCCTTCCCTGTGCACGGGATTGTACGCTGCTAAGACTAACATGCGCCCCCCCTCCTTGGTGTTTGCATGCAGTCATTGCATCCAGCAGATCCTGGAAGCGGTGCTTCACTGCCATCAAATGGGTGTGGTGCACCGGGACCTGAAGGTGAGTGATGGGGATTACCTTGCTGTCCTTGAGAGTGTGCTTATGTATTTGTGTGGGTGTGTTATTTGTGTAGTCTGTGTAAGTCTGATAAGTAAATGAGAAACTGTCTGTAATGTTTGTGGACATAATGTCACTTGCAAAACCTCAGGACTTAGAGAGGGTTTTGAATCATGTCATTCCCCCTGAATTCTGATAAAAACAATTGCACTCTTTGTAACCCTATATAATACAGTTTAGGCCTATACAATGGTTGGTTGTACAGTTAGAAAGCCATTTAGAGTCAGGCCAAAGTGCCTTTCCCCACTCAGAGCTAGACCAGTCCCAACAGCTTTGTGGCAGTCACCATGAGACTGTCAAATACCCCCGCCGACCTTTCTTTGGCCCTGGCTTGCCATACACAGCTCATACCTCCAGCTCTCTGCAGTCAACTTCTTTTCCTGTTATTTAAGCACCACTTCCCCATGTCTGTTGAGATTTCAGTCATGCAACGCTGGTCAAGCACGCTGACCAGTGCCGCCACTCTGTAACCTTTTTGGAACAGGATCTTATCATTGCACAGCTGACCATCTAAGATGGCCCAGGAGAATACCTAATCTGACCTCTGGTCAGAGAGAATGTTAACTATTGATTATAAGACACTTTGTGTGGTTTCAATTGCCTTTATAGATCACTGACCCACAGTGCTTCAAATGTGACAACTCATTTTCTGTATACTGCCATCAATTGACTTGTAATGTTGTGACATTTGTTTATATCTGATGACTGACTGGTAGAGCAGGTGCTAATTTTGAACCTGTTCCAAGTTTCTTAGAACTGTGGGATTGCTTAATATATGTATTTTGTAAACTTGGTTCATATTAAGTTTTGCTCAAGGATTTTTTCTGAGCTTGAAATGCATTTTCAGAAATATTGTACACAAAGCAGTTGTTTAATGTGATTGCTAACTGTGAAGGAACTAAGCTGAAGTTTTGCTTCGGTTTGTAAGTGTTTAAATTTGGCTTAATACTGTGCTCATGGAAACATTTCCTCACACAGAGCAGCACCTCAAATATGAGCTTTGAGTGAATCAGTCAGTGTCTAAACAGATAGATGTTTCCAGTCCTCTTCCAGTCATGTTATGAACCTAGTCGTGTATTTGTATGTGCATGCTTGTATGTCGCATCTTGCTGTGCATGGTGCACTTTGTCAAGCAGACCTCTTCTATGCAAATGTCAGTCCCGGCATTCCAGCAAAGGCGTGTTGTGTTCATCAGAACTGTTGTGGCTATTTCTTTATTTAGCCGACACACCTATCTGGTTTCACACCCAAGCATCGGAGAGCATTTCATGCAATAGGTCATAGTGTGATGACTGAGGACAGCTTGGGTGACAAGATCCCTCAAATTAGGAATTGGGTTATGGTATATGAGATGACAACACAGTAAGCAGACTTATTTGTGTGTCAATCCCCCACCACCAAATTGTGCAATATTGTTCACACTGTTGTTTTTGTCATCTCAGAAGTTAAAAGCATACTGTCTTTCAGTCTATTGGTCACTGTTGTCAAAGGCAGCATTTTTAGTTTGACACAAGTAATGGATCAAATTAAATTGTGTTAATAGATTATATTACATATGTCATATAGGAAAAGTGCCTTTTTAATGGACGACCACATCTCAGCTACATTCTCAAAAGGAATTAGTCAGGAATGTCACAGAAGCTCCAGATCCTCTGCAGACAGAGATATAAAAGGGAAGCGAGAAAGATGGGAATCATTCCATTTGAAACACCCACTCATGAACTGCTCTCAAATACAGCCTTTCGGTCTGTATACCCTCCCTCTCTCCCTTTAAACCAAACTAGTTGCTGGCCACCAGTGTGCTCAGCTGTGTGTACATGTGTATGTGTGTGCTAAAGAGATAGAGAGGGCAGGAGGGCTTATGTCAAAAAGTGATGGCGATTGCTGCTGTTATGCCTGTAATGTGGCCTGGATGTTTTGCAATGCATTTATGCACCTTTTAACAGAAGCACATGCTTCATCAGAATTTCCACCCACATCTGTTTTCACGGATTAGCTTACTGCTGCAGTGTTGGCAAGTTATAACTCCCTCGTTCACAAAAGAGTAAAGCCTAACCAAGTGGTAGCGCTGAGAGAATATGATGACACGAGGTAGGCACAGCTCCTTAGGATTACTGGTTCGCTCTCTCACAGTCTCTCTCTCTTGCTCATTTCCTTCTCTTTTACTTATGGGCTCAAAGACTGTAAAAGCACACTTTTAAGTATCTGCACTTTAAATACACAGTATCCCCTTGCCTCTAAACAAATTAGCTGAGTGCAGCCGGCAGAGGGAAGAAGGCAGAGGGTGCAAAGACTCACACTTCTGCAATGCAGGGGAGGCAGTGACAGAAATGCAGCCTAAATATAATGTCCCCATTCTCCCCATGTTGTAAGTTTGTGCTTATGTTGTTTACAGTAGCGCATATCAGGAAACAACGACACAAGCTAATTGGAAGTGAAGAAAGACTTCTATAAGTGACATTAAAGAAACTAAATTTAGTCCCTAAATGGCAAGAGAAACCGTCGTATGAGTAACTATACACAGCAGGCTTCTGTTCAGTTAATAGAAGCCCTCAGTAATATGCACATCAGTGTAACTGCATGGCTATTAAAGAACCCCATCTGTCCGACATTTGGTAAGCAGGTGTTACTGTTGACATGTTATATTGAGTTTAGCCAAAACAAGGTTGTAGTACATTAAAACTGCACTTTGTGATCACCAAACACAAACCAGGATTGCAGATGATAACCCGGGTTGGGAGTTTCAGTTATATAACAATTTCTTGGAGGCAAAGCTCTTCTAAAGGCAGAAATTAATTAACTGGTACTGAAGTATGAGGCTTATAGTGGAAAAACTAGTTTTGTCAAGCTTAGTCTAACACTCAGTTAACTAACAGTCTTGACATGCTAAGATATACAGGTTACCTTGTTAGCCTAGCTGACCTCCCAAACTGTAAGTAGTCATACTAACTCATAGTTGATGATTTTCCAGCGTCGTGAATACAATGAATGAAACAAGTGTTTTATATTTTGTATTAATTTTTCCCACCTCAGTGCTTTATTTATCATTCAAGATTGCCAGTTTCTCTTAGAGTGGCAATGATTAAGTGAGATTGAGTGAGATATAGAGAGACAAAGTGAGAAGGAGCAGGGGCCAGTGGGGATAGCATCCCATTATTAGAACCCTCTTCTGACAGAGAATAATGAGGCTGACTGCATTATCTGGGCCACAGAGATAGAGCCCATAGACCACAGCACACCACAGCACACCACATGAGCTTATGACAAAAAAGCACTGCAGACCGATTGGGTTGTGTGTACACGTTAGGCTATGCAAAAAAAGTTATTCACCTTTCCTCTGCTGAAATGTGGACTGACTTTTATTGTATAGTGTTTATATGTCCACGCAAGTTATTCAAATGACATCTATGTCTGTGTGTTTCTGTGTTCTGTGTGTGCTAAATACAGTGTTGATAAGAATGTACTGTATGAACCCTATTTTGTGCATGCATAGCTATCTACCTGCAGCTCTTCCCCCACTAAAGCAGTGTATGTTTTGTACCCCTGTCCTTCATTTCCAAGTGTTTGGTAACCTTATTTATCTCCTCTTTCCCACTTTAGCCAGAGAACCTTCTCCTAGCAAGCAAATGTAAGAATGCCGCAGTGAAGCTGGCTGACTTTGGCCTAGCCATTGAGGTGCAGGGGGATCAGCAGGCCTGGTTTGGTATGTACCACGGCTATAGGAGTTAATCATATCTCTATTTTATATGTATTTATCTAAAGTTTTAAAGGAGCTCGTTATGACTACAGCAATAGAACAAGGTTTAGTTACTATGATGGAAAACTTTGAAAAAGATGAAACAGTCGTACTCAAACAAGATTTCAGAACAAGATTTGACTTGAACAGCAGAATTTATTAAAGCTCGGCCAACAAGAATAAGATCAGCAATACATGTGAAGCGCAGTGCAATGCCAACCCAACTCTGAAGGTTACCTCCTGTCGAAGGATATTTAATACAAACTTAGACCCACAGGATCTGCTAGTGTCCCAAATATGGTCATAACTTGCATAGCTAAATATGTGCGAAGAACCACTTGGGTAGTGGTTCAGAACAAGCTTTAATCCTACCTACGCTATCCTAAGTCACGCTGAATGACCAGTTGTCTTTTAGATTTATCTCTCAATCCTGGTCTTCTGTAACAAAGTAGAAGTTACAATATGTTGGGTGCTCAGTTTTCAATCGTATCAGCTGCTCTGCATAGTCTAGTCTAGTAACTAGCACCGGCTGTGACCTGTGACACCCTTAAGGTTTTGTAGACAACTTCACAGTGGCATTGGGAGCACTATACCATTTCAGTCTAATGTAAAAAACTGAATTGCTTCACAGTTACTGTCAGTGGTAAGGACTGCAATGGTGAACAGCTTTGCGGTGGCCTAAAAATTATTTTTTTTATGAAAAATGCTTGGTAAAGGAATACAGACCTAAGGATAAAAAACAGTGACATAAGAAGGTTCAGCTGACAGAGAGAGTGACTTAAGCTACTAGAAAATACATCTCCCTAAAATTTATTCTTGTGGTCATGCAAGATTAATTGTAAAGATGTACATCCCAGATTATCAACACTTAGTTCATAAATGTTAACTAACATAGCTGGTACTACCTAGATTGTGCTGACACTAGAGTTGTGTACACTTCTTATTTTTTTACATTTGATAAATGGTGAATGGTCTGGTACCATGAATTAACCTGTATTTATTACTATCCCCATCATTACTGCTAATGTGATTTTTTTATCAGGTATGTCAAACTCATGATCATAACGGTGCAGAGTACTGCAAGTTTCTGTTTGGAAATGGAGATTACTTAGCAAAGAGTGAGTGGGGTGAACCTGTCACAGATTAGCACTGTTCAGGCACACTTCCACATCGCATCTGGATCTCTACTACAAACATCTGTACCCTTCAGAAGTGGCGTCTCTGGCTCTCCTCAATGAGAGATATGCCAGTCGTTCACAGTCAACTGATCTTAAAGCCTCAAATCTGTCTTTAAGATCTCAGTCTACTGTGTGGATGAATCAGTTTTAGCTTATGTAAGATTATCTTGCTTTCTGTACAAGCTGATCCAAGGATAGCAGATACACAATCTGTTGCCTTGAGCATGTCAATCAATGGTTTATGTGTGTGTTTTTACTGCAGGATTTGCTGGCACACCGGGGTACCTGTCCCCTGAGGTTTTGAGGAAGGAGGCATATGGCAAACCTGTGGACATCTGGGCCTGCGGTGAGTTGTACAGAGAGACACACACACTCATTCACACACTTTACACATATATGGCATTTCCTAGATGGTTATATACAAAAAACAGAAACACACTGACAAATTAGGCATTTTCTCTGTGTGTGTATGTGTTTGTCCATATGTGTTTCTGTGTGTGTCTCAGGGGTGATCCTCTACATCCTGCTGGTGGGTTACCCTCCTTTCTGGGATGAGGACCAGCACAAGCTGTACCAGCAGATCAAGGCTGGGGCTTACGATGTGAGTCTCCTCTCCTCTCCTGCTCTCTCATTTCTCACCTCCTCTCCTCTCCTCCCACTGCCCTCGTTTCTATTTGGCAGCGGTTACGTAACTCAGTCACCTCATTCATATTTCAGGGGGTGCAAGAGAGGGAGCCTCACCTTAGATCACATTTAAGTCCATGCCAAATTGAGAGAGAGAGCCTGTCTGACTCTCTGGCAGGGATTCTGGGCTCATAGGACTCAGACATCCACATTTATGCCTAAACACAACGGGACCTGATGGGTTTGGAATTTTAGAAAAGTTTGTTGTGCTTGGACTGGCCTCCTGCCAAAAAACACCTACATGGGGCCATAGTGGCTGAAGGTACATGTAATTGGGTTAAAAAAAATAGATGTAAACTATAATATGCAATATCTCTATCTGTTCTGTTTATGGGGTGAAAAATGTCACACAAACAATGTACCATATCTCATAATGACATATTGCATTTTTATATGTAGATAAATATTCTTCAGATTTGTAGACTTGTAGTTGTATTTGAAAATGTTGTCAATAGGGACTTTTTACAATGGTTTTCTGAAGTGGTTTGGACACAATTTCACTGAATAAGGGCTGTTACTAACAACCACTTTCATTATTGATCAATCTTATTAATATTTTCACGATTAATGTCGATTAATTAATGTCTGTGAAAAGTTAGAAAAAATGTGAAAAATGCTTATCGTAGTTTCCCAGAGCCCAAGCGGTCGCCTTCAAAGTGTTTGGCCAAAGCTAAAAGATATTTAATTTACAATGATATAATACAGACACAAGCACAAAATTCTTACATACATGGAGCTGAAACCAGTGAATGTTTGGTAGGTTTCATTGAAAAATGATTAATTGATTATCAAAATAATTGCTGATTAATGTCTATCAACTGTTCTGTTTGTGCCTTTAGTTCCCTTCCCCAGAGTGGGACACAGTCACCCCAGAGGCCAAAAACCTGATCAACCAGATGCTGACTATCAACCCAGCCAAAAGGATCACTGCTCAGGAGGCCCTCAAGCACCCATGGGTCTGCGTAAGTGTCCCCTACATGAAACAGACAGCGTATTTTCCACACAATCTTTACACTTACTGCATGCCTAGAAAGACAAACAAGTGATTTGATCATAGCAAACACAAACACATTGATTAATCCTAATTCTCCTCTTCCTCCTGCTCTTCCTTGTCTTCTTCTTTCACCCAGCAACGGTCCACAGTGGCGTCTATGATGCACAGACAGGAGACCGTGGAGTGCCTGAAGAAATTCAATGCCAGAAGGAAACTCAAGGTTTGTTTGCATGCTCACTCTCTCCCACATCATCCTCTTCTGCTCTAATGAGCCCTTGTACATTTCAGGGATACCATAGTATGGTGTGGTATTTACACGTTTCCTGTAATGTTTGTGAGCTATAAATTTAAGATGGTGTAAAATTTTAAATGTGTTTAATGGAGATGGCTCATGTAATATTATTGCTTTCTCTCCTGACTCTGGCGCTGGGGTTATATGAAAAGGCAGTTTAGATCCGGACTTATCCTACATGCATAGTTTCCCTTCTACTCTGATTTATTGCTGACATTTAGTGCAAATACAACAGCTTAGCCACTGGAGCATCTCACTGTTACCCTGTTGCTTTTGGTTAGTCTTGGCATGGGGAACTGGAAGCAGAAATACAGGTGGCTGCAGGAAAATGTTAGACCATTCAACCAGAATGCCATCAGTGTGAACCAATTGTCTCTTTTCACATTTAGAAAGAAATGGACACTGGCAAGGTTAGACATTCAGCTATATAAACGGAAACAAAGAAAAGGTCACAACAACACTTGTGACAGTGAATCAGTTAATTCTATATTGTTGTATGTGCTAAACATTATAAAAGAAAATCATCCAGGATATTTGTACGTTCCTTATATGTATTCCTAAACTTATTTGGACTCACAAACTCACAGATTTTGAATTTTGCTGATTGACATAAAACAATGTAAAGGTTTTTACTAGAGCTGCTTTAACAGTTTAGTCAGACTGTGGGTCATCATCTCTAGAGCTAACAAATACAAGGAAGTATGTTTGAAAGAAAGATATCTACCATTGAGAAAAAAAGGCTCCCACCCACATACTATGTATTAGTTTTTTCGTGCAGCGTTACAGCTCGATAAAGGTGCCGCCTTTGCTATGGTTAAGACAGAAGCATCTGGTATCTTGATATGAATATATTATATATATCAACCTCCGCAGCTCTTAAATACTGTAGTCTATTTTCAGTAGTATTTTTATAGCCCTATAAAAAGTTATCAGCTCCAGTTGTAAATGATGTCTCCAGAGAAAACAGTGTCAAGATAAGCTGCTTTACTCCTCTCTCTCTCTCTCTCTCTCTCTCTCTCTCTCTCTCTCTCTCTCTCGAAGCAGAGATGGCTCATAAGGGTCTTTGTTACCATGTAGTCCACAATCCACATTTCAGAGTGTATCCGCCAATCAGACGTTGTTTATGTGCTATTTAAATGCACTTTTTTCTTTGGATTTTCTGTTCCACCTGCTGTGACTGTGTGTCAGGATCTTTCCCAGGAAAGCCCTGTCTTTGTTTTATTAGAAGAGCAAATTTAAAAGCTTCAGTCACCTGGATATTGTTTGAATCACTCCTGTGGTAAATAATGTGCACCAGACAGTGGCACAATGAATGTTCATTTGTATAGAAATGTCTAAATGATTTTGTTACTGTAATGTTACTGTAAAAGTATCTTCTTTGTTTTCCTTGTAGGGGGCTATTCTTACTACCATGCTGGTTTCTCGAAATTTCTCTGGTAAGTGTCTCCTGGACATAATTCTTGTATCCCCCATTGCTCTTAATCTACCATTCATATCAGTGAACCAACATTAGTTAGTATACAGCTTTGGAACACACTAAATGTAGGAATTTTCTTGACTGCATGACACTTGTGTTGCTATATGCTTTACTAAGGGAGACCAAAATATTTGTTTTATATAAGCAGGTCTGTAACAGTCAGTTTGGTTTTGAGAAACATGGCACCATTTTGGAGGACTTTGGGGTTCTTAAAAGTGACTTCACCCAAAACCTGACTTATCCAGTGCAACTCGCTGATTACTGCCTTTTTTTCTTTGTTAAGAAACAAACTACACACCTTTTACAGTACTATATACAATTAGAACCTCAAACTTTTCCTTTTGATGTTCTTTGGGCTGACCCCAATGCTTCGAAGCATTGACCATTGCCATGGTAATTGACATTGACAATATTCGATTATGTTTCCCAAATAGACCTTACTTAATAATAATAATAATAATAATACATTTTATTTGTAAAGCGCTTTTCTAGATACTCAAAGACACTTTACATAAAAATATAAATATAAAGGAGGACTTAGGAGGGCTGCCCAGATATATTAACGGCCGGCATTTTGCAGAGATCTGGCTTTATGTTAAAATACCTGGACACGGTGGATATTTTACAAGCACGGACCAGGTAAAGCATTCACTACCACGTTGGTTTTGTTTCAATTGACCACATTGTTAACAAGCCTCCTCGACACACAACTCACCTGCTGTTGTAAAAAAACGAATCGCAGGGTGCCTGGATTCCTCAACTCGTAGAGCTGGCGTCCCGTGTACAAAGGCTGAGCCCCTGCTGTAGCGGCACAGGATTCGAATCTGACTTTCAGCCCTTTGCTGCTTGTCATCCCCTTTCTCTTTCCCCCCTTTCCTGTCCAGAATACTGCACAGTGATAGACATTTTGAAAAATACTAAGCCAATCTTATATTATCTCTTATAATGTTCTTGAGTCATTCTCAGTGAAGCTTTGAAGCCCAAAGAATTGTATTTTGGACAGCCAAAGATGTTCTATTCCGCCAAAATGGTGACATGTGCCTTGTAAACACAAGTAACAGTAAACATTCAGTGACAGACCTATTTGTCTTCCTTGACCGAAGACAGAGCATGCTGTCGAAAGCAAAATCACATTTTCATTTCATCTCAGTACAACTTCAGTGTTTCCGTTTTTATTCAAGTTATTCTAACTACAGAGCAGTGTCTTCTTGAAGAAAGTAGTTTACAAAACAGCTGTTCAATAAAGTCACATGTTTTTAGACAAAATGTTTAATTTTAGTTTTCATATAGTTCAGTTAGAGGGCAGTTTAGATTCACAATCCAAAAGATTTAACATTCACACTAACTTAACAGCATGGAACAGAAAGAAAACAGATTTGCCTTTTGCTCTGAATGTCCTTCAGGTCAATACGTAAGACCATTTGAATCTGAAGTAGACGTGTTTTGATAATATGGGGAGACACTGAATTTGATCAGCAAGCTGTGGATGTGTTTGTGTCTGTGTACTTGTATTTGTGTATATCTCTGTAATAGATGACACTTTCTTGAAGGTGTAATGTTGATTTTAAATCTTTGCTATAATCAAAACATAACATTTTGTGCATCTGTACCTCCCACTTCTTGAGGCTGCCTCAGAGACAATTTTACAAATGACTTTCTTCAGTCCGGAATTGTACTTTTCTTAATTTATTATATAGACAGTGAGAACCAAAAATGTCTTAACAAAAAAGATTTATCAGTTTCATTTTAGCACTGTTGTGGTCAGTGAAATATTCCATTTAGCAACAAGAACGCACAGAGTCATATGTATGGAAGAACCTCTAAGTGCAGCCACTCTGACACTGTAAGCTTTACAATGGGAAATGGTCTGAGCATCCACTAAACACCCACTGCTGTTTAACTCCCACACACACACTGGCTGTGTCACTGCTCTTGAACACTCACTTTTTAGGAAGCAGTACTACATTATAAGTGTGAGGTCATTTGGTGAATGAGTCAGAGACAGGATAAGAAATAACTAAGACCTAAAAAATAAGAGACTGACCTTCAGTAAAAGATATCCATGCCACATCACATCAGTGCTTTATGTAACGGGTTACTATATTCTCATCATATATTATGAATCATGCATTATACAGATCCGTGTATCACTGTCCCTGTGCGGGCATTTCTTTTACCCACCACATGTTTATGTAATGTCTTGTAGTATTCATACCATATAAGGTTATCAGGAGGAAGTTAAGTTTTAAATTGAGGTTTTAAATTGTAGAATTGTTTATCTCTACTGTATATCCTCAGTGAAGCTGCCATTATTTTACTTTGATTACAGCATATTGAATTAATAGATAGACTGCACTGCCTGTTGTAAATATGTTGTTATTAGGGTCAGTGAGGGTTGCAAATTTAACATTTACTAACACTGACTAAATTCTCTATCATTATCACCATTGTCATCCTAACTAGGGCTGCAACTAACAATTATTTTCATTATCGATTAATTGATTGGTTGTTTGTATGTATCACTAACCACAACCCAAAGATATTCAGTTAAGATAAGATAAGATAACTATAATTAAGTAATAAAGAAACCAGAAAATATTCACATTTGAGAAGCTGTTATCAGAGAATTTGGACATTTTTCCTTAAAAAAAATGTTTAGAAAGGGTTGTCAATTGATTTAATAGTCGACAACTAATCAGTTAATCGACTCATTGTTGCAGCTGTAACTCTATAACAATAATGCTATTTTCAGGGATACATAGAGACAAAATGCAAGCGTCGAGATTCTCAGATGAAAGTTGAGACTTGTGTCTCTCCCTGACATGTTTCTCTGCTGGTTCTTCTGTCACAGCAGTGGATGCATATGTGACAGAATTTTGTGTCACAGCCAAATGATGTCATGTGTATGAATTAATCCCCTTTCTCTAAACTAATGAGCCCTGTTTGTCTCTGCCTTTTTGTGTCTCACCTTCTTTTCCCCCTCCCTGCCCACCTACCTCCTGCTGTGTCTCTGACTCACCCCTTCCTTTCACGTTCTTTTCTTTTACCCTTCTTTCTAAATGTCACTCCACCCCTTTCCCATCTTTATCCCCCGTTCCTCATTCACCTCCTGCTCACCCTCCTTGTAACTTTCTTTCTCCACGTGACTGGGTATTGGACTCTTAACAGTGGGCAGCAGGCAGACCACCGCTCCAGCCTCTGTCACTGCGGCCGCAGCTGCAGTGGCTGCAGCCGCCGGCACCACCGCAGGGCTGGTGGAACAAGGTAGCATGGTGGCTCACCCAGGGCACGCTACTCCTCTCTCCCTCCCTCTCTCTGTTCCCGTGTTTTACACTTCCTCTTCTTGTATTTCCCCTCTTTCATTTTCCTCTGCCTCCCTCCCTCCCTCCTTCCTCAGCATGGGAGCTCAGAGCATGATGGCTGACCACATCGCAAACTTCATCTCCCATTTATTCACAATCTGCAGCATTAGCTACGTTTCCATCTATTTAGCAGTTTTTATGCAGGTTTTATGGTATTTTTCCATCCATTGAGTTGAGGCAAGTAAGGATTTTTTTAAAACAATAAAAGGTGGAAAAGTTTTATAAATGTCAACGATATTCAGCTATTGTTGGCCATATTTTATGTTTTTATCCAAGAAAAGCATTCATTTAATATAGCTAAGTGTTAAAACACAATAGATGCAATAGAGCAACAGTAGGTATAGTTTTTCAAGGAAATTGTAAAAGATATTTTACCAACAAGATAAAGCCATACTTTTAAACCAACTTAACAGTTTATATATCAAATGTGCCTCTGTTGCTATTTCTTTGCTAATTGTCCTTATTGGGGAAAGCCTCATTTAAAGCAAACCAGATAATAATAATGCAATAATGTCGATTTTTTAGTGGATATTTCAGTTTCCATTTGCCCATTCTATGTTAATGCTTTATAATTAGTAAAGGATTTGGATGGAAGCCTAGCTACTGCATGTCAGCGCATCTGTCCCCTCCTGTCAGAGATCAGATTGGGTGGCTGCAGTGCCAATCTCTGTCATCAGTACCAACCCATATTCATCCCTTCATCTTCAACTCTAAATGCAGCCAGAGAGCATGGCCTCAACCCAGCCAAACTCCTGTCTCTGTTTCTCTTTTTTTCTTCTCACTTTTTTTCTCCCACCTCACAACACCACTCCATTTTACCTCATTCCCTCTCCAGTATTCTGTCAATTTCAACATCTCTGATCACTGTTGTCTCTCAAGTCACCTTACACTTTTCTACAACTCCACTAGCATCAGACTTTCCCTCTTTCCCTCATAATGTCACATCTCACTTTTCCCCCCACTCCTCTTTCCCTCTCTCTTCTTTTCTCTGTCTGACAATGACACTGGAAAGTTCGCCCCCGTCACTTTAAGGATGGAACTGCCCAAGAGCTGTCAGTGAATGCTGCATGGGGCACTGGACTGGTGCATGCGCTGCAACACGGGGGGATTTTGGTGCATGGTGAACACTGTGGAGATGCAAGGCTGGGCTGGTTCTCATGAAGTGAAATTTTAAGCTCTGTAGCCTATTTGTAGTCTCCCTGTGTGTTTATTCAGAACACAACACATATTTTAGAGACTGCGCTGTCTGCACGAGGGAAATAATCCAACTGGACCAAAAAAGGCACATTTACTAGTAGCTTCATAAACGCACAGAGACAATTTGAAAAATGAAAAATATTATAAGGAAATAATAATAATAAAAAGACACACAGACACTCACACAACACAGTCAGTGTGTCTATTGCTAGCTAGCGTACAGCTATAATCTGAACACACCTTTAGGCATAAAAAGCAAACAGCTGCCACCACAGTTGAAATGTCTTAAAGGTGTATTAAGTCATGTATAACCTTTTTTGAGGCCCAAGTAAAACATAAGCTAACCTTATTTGCAAACAACTGCCTATATACGCATCCAGCGGACACAGAGCACTCTTTTTAGAGTCTTATTTCTGTCCCCCTGACAAATGTACAGTAAATCTAATATTTTCTTGTCAGTAGATGGTGGAAGTGAAACATGTTGTTTATTTGAAAGATCTTAATGCTGATCCAAATGTAATTAATTATAAATCCAAATGTAAGCTTCAAAACATTCCTTCAGACACAAGTGATATCACAGAAATTTTGTCAAGTCTGTTTTTCTAGTATGTTCAACACTATATATTTATATATACTATATATAACAGCAAAGTGCAAGAGCAGTTGATTCAGAGGGCATTTTAATAAATCTGAACCGGACCTAATGTGTTTGTTCTGGGTATGGCGAAATTAACCGCAGGCATAAACGACAAAAAGCTTCACATGACAGTCTAACATTGAGCTGCGGAGACAGAAGCAGTGTCCTTGTTTCTGTGGACCACTGGGACTCCACAGTCCTCTCTGTGTCCCTCAGCCTCCACTAGGCTCCAATCAAATATTTATAGTGGGCTGTCTCCCTCTATCAGCTTCACTCTGCCTCACTGGCTTACTGGAGTCCTCGCTCTATCTTGCATATTCATACACACAATAATAATCACTATGTACTAGACCTCACCATGTCCTCATGCAGGAGTAGAGCAAGTGTATCTTTAAATGTATCCTGGCCTTCAACATGCTATGTGTGGAAAAAGTGCTTGAGGAACTTTTGCACCTGAGTGGGTTCCTCCATTAGCTTAATGCATTTCCAAAAGGCTTTTTTTTCGGCTTGTATAATTACCCACATAATCTTCAAGTGAATCCATGCCCATCCTTGCTTCGCTCGTGCAGTGGTGCATCTTGCGTGTTTTTAGTGGGATTTTATCACGGTGCTTTTGTTTTAATCTCTTCCTCCTCTCTCTTCTTGCTTCATGTGTAATTTGTGGCAAGGTAAGGAGCGCCCCTTGCTTCTCCACCTCCGGTTTGAATTAAGCTACCTTTTGATTTTTCAGGTTTCCACGGAGATTTCCTCTTCGTCACAGGAATTGAAGCCATTTTTAGCAACCTTCAGTGCAGATTTTTTAGAAGATCCAGTTTGCCACTTTGACAGAATAATGGTGTTTAGAAAGAGCACAGTGAAATACCCTTATCACTTGGACCTGTTCTCCTTACTCTTCCTCTCTGCTCTCCTTTCATATCCTCTCCTCTTCTGCCAAGCCATCAGAGAATATGAGAGAATGAACTTGACACTATTCTGACCCCATTTCTTCTCCTCAGTAACAACCAGCCTTTGGAAGGAGGAAGAACAGCACAACAATAAACCATGTGCATTCATGCCACTCTCACATCCCTCCGTATTACGTAGTGCTTCTTTATCACTCCCTTCGTTGACTGCTGAATATGCAAACTTCACTTCACTGAGGCATAAAAGTCAAATAAAAATAAAGCTAGGACAAATGGTGGCAGTAATGTATTCTCAACACCTTATCTCCCCTATATAACTTAGTCCATCACTGTCTCGTGTGACAGCTTAAAAAGTCCGCTTGTAAGATACTTAAAACGACTGAGCTAGGCTTTCAAGTGGCCTCCTTATCATTGGACCTCTGTTCCCCTTAAGAAATCAGTGCCTAAAGGAAATACTAATGGAATTCAGGCTTCAGCTGAAAATTTTGATGCTTATTCGGAAACAAAAGTGAGAAAATCAGGAACTTTGTCTCATGTTTAGGGAGGAGGGAAAGAAAAAGAAATAAAGAGAGAGAAAACATCCCAGACCGCCAGAAATAGTTTTTTTATATAATGCGGCTGGCTGCTGATGTGATTGCATCTGATTAGACTCGAAATTGCACTCACACTTTAAAAAGTCCCAGTAAAGATTACATCTAATGGAGTAAGATGGGGAGGGAGAACAATTTTGCCTTGATGACACATTTCACAAAGATCACGTTTAAACATTTATCCAAAAAGCAAAGTTTATAAATCACTCTAATTATTGGAACACACACTTGAAAATCAAGTTAATCATGAACTGTGGTCATTTTTATCTCACAGACAAGAATAAAAGGAGTTTATTTTATTTCAGTGTTCAGAAAATTGTTGAACTTTTAACCAGTCGTTTATTTACAGAGACGCAGCCACAGAGAACTCAAAATAAGGCTTTTAACTGTTAGACATGTATAATAACCAAACAGATTATCATCAAGTAGGAAATGTAAAACTCATCACTTCCTATGTGCCTGAAGTCTTTTCTTGTATGTGTGTGTGTCCAGGGTTGGTGCTGTACAGTACCAGCAAGTCCCACCCAGTGTATCAACTTTTAAGCAGTGAAACACACATTTGCTCTCTAATCTCGTCAACATCTGGTGTCTTGTTAGTGTTAATCCTCTGTCTGCATCGTCACAGACACACCCACAGCCTCCACCAGCACATCGAGAGAGTCCCTCTCACACTCTTATTTTAGGGCCCCTCTGAGTGAACGTGTCTCTATCTAATGCAATCGGACCCCCTAGCTATCTGCGCTTCAGCAGTGCAGTCATGGTGAATGCCCTGCGGACTGTCTTTTGTTGTCTACACGCAGTTTCCACTGTTCTAAGGGATTATGGGTATTACGCTCATCAGAGGACTGTGTCTACAGTATCATTCTTCCTCTCCTACCCTCCTCCCTCACCCCATCCCTCATTACCCTTCATTAGAGAGCAGACGCAAGACTAATCCTCCTTAAGGCCCCTACAGAGTTCTTTAAGGCAAGGCTTATTGTCGGGGTTTAGTTGGTTGCCGTGCAGCCATCTTTGTTTTGGGTTCCTGGTGGCCATTAGGGGACTCTGGCACAAGAATTGATGGGAACTAATTCATTATAATACATTTTTATTTCACTGACAACAACATCCTTGTATTGTCGTATTGTTGACCCTAAAGCAATTGGACTGTGTAGCTAGTCTAAAAGAGAGGGAAAATAACCATGGTGATGGGTTTTGCGTCTAGAGGCAACACTTTTCCACTTTGGTCCTTTAGCATTCAACAGCATGTAACCTAGGTTGTACCTTGCTAGATCAATAAAAGCCCTTACATCAATCTAATGCACATCTTTAGTTTACAGATTGTGTGATTGCATAATGAGCTTTATACACATGCGCGGTTCTGTATTGATTGCTGGGAGTTATTCAGAAGGTATCTTGGCTGTACAACATCACTAAAAGGAAAAAGATATACGTGGATAACAACCCAACCTTTCCATAATAATTTGGTCTGACAGCCTAGGTCTTCATTTTGAAAGTTTTGTCACCAAGCACATTATTTATGAGATTTTACACACCGGGTGATTTGTAGAGACCAGACATGGTGACTCATGTCTGTTCAAGCAACTGAACAAAAGCCTCACACAGGCTTAAATAAATACCATAGTAATTTTGTCAAATTAATGAAATTACAACTTAATTTGAAGGACATGTTGCTTTCGTGAGGAAAAAATATCAATGCTGGTTGTACTGTATGAGCAATAGATTGTTCAGTTACTCATACAGTACTTATTCAATGTATCTTGTGACTTCTGAAGGTTGCAGGGTTGCCTAGCTGAAGGAGTTACAATGCTACAATTGTAAAACAATTGTAACTTCCTCTGCCCTTGTTCTTTCAGCCTAGTTGAGCCATTGTTTTTCAAAAAGGCAATTTTACTAAAGAGATCAATAAAGAACATTATTTTACAGTGAACGTAATCACTTCAATTAAAGATTTAGCAGATGTTGTCAGTCACTGAAAAAGTAATTGTTGCTTTGCTTTCTCTCTGCTCGTCTCCACCTCTGACTGGTTATTTTTCCCTGTGTTTATCATTGCAGCAGCTAAGACATTGCTCAACAAAAAGGCAGATGTCAAGGTAAGGGTCATCACATGTCTCCCTTCCACTTCTCTATACTCCCTCCTCTTTACTCTCCTCTCTCTTGCTTAATTTTCCAGACATAGAATCTCTGCCCTTTTCTTCCTCTTGTTTTTCTCTGTTCCACTATTTGCTTCTTTTCTAATCTGGCTAACCTCACTTTTGCCTTCAGTAGCTCTCTTTTCTTTGTAGCTGAACATGTTGTCTTGTGTCATAATTTCATTCCATGTGTTGTGATGTGGAGATTGTGGTTTTATTTTTGGTATGTAAAGTAGAGATATTCACAGCACTACTTTATCTGTGAACATGTGTCTGTACACACGTGTGTGTATGTGTCACCCTGTGTGTTGCCTGCCAGAGCAAAAGCCTCAATAGCACATCTTTCTGAAAGCACCCTTTATTTTGATCTGGCATTATTCAGCTCATTGCCACCTCTCCATCTCCATTATTAAATGTAACCATCTGTCAGCCCTTTTTTTCATCACTTCCTCTTCCTCTCATCCCTCCATTTCTGTCTTTGCCTCCTCTTTCATTGCTTCCTTTTCCTGCTCACCCCATCTGGTCTTTAACCCCACATTCCTGTTCATCCTTTAATGAAGATCTCTCACCATCCCACGCTCGCACATACACACACTGCAGTAACACATCCCACACATAACTTCCATGAATGTGTCTGTGTGTTCATGCATGATAGTGTGCGACAAAGCTTGGAACATGGTGTTCATGCAAAAGAATGTGCTCGCTGCTCAGCATTGTTCATTACATTCGGCAGAGCTTTGTGCACATACACGTGGACATTTAGGTGTGTGCTTGTGTGAATGTGACAGTGTGTACGAATATATGCCATTTGTTTGTCAGTTTGAAAAGAGAATGAAAGTGCCAATGGGGGTGTGAGCATGCCTGCCTTGAGTGTGCGTAAGCGTGGGTGTCCGCATGTGTGGTTTGCTTATGTGCATGTGCAGCAGGGTGTGCGTGCGTGCGTGCGTGCGTGCGTGCGTGCGTGTGTGCGTGCGTGTCCATGGCCGCCCTCCCCTTTCTCCTTGCTCAGTCGGTTCAGCAGGGAATGTGACTCCAGTTCCAGGAATAGCTGCCAGTCTGGACCCTGGAAACTCAGACGACAGAAATAGACGCTTACTTCCACTGCAGCGCACTCATTGCCTAGCAACAGGCTCCCCACACACTCGCCCCAAACCATTTCTGAAGGCGCCTCCTTCGTTTGCTGCCGTCCCTGCTCTCCTCCTTTCCTTCCTCTCCTCTTGTTTCTCCACTGGGCCTCCCCTCAAATATCCTTTTTGTTCTCTTTGGCGACTCTGACCTGTCCTCCTCCTCTTCCTCCTCCTGCTGGTTTATCAATGGATAATGGCACCTGACGTCTTTCAGCTGTAGCACCTGCTCAGCTCAAGCTGACAGTCTCTCTCTCTCTCTCTCTGGCACTACTACACACCTCTGTCAGCCTCACGTGCTGCCAGCTACTTCCCATGAAAGCCTCTCCATTCAGCATTTCATGCAGTGTTGTTATATTGACAGCATACACTGTGTCTATTCTTTTTGTTTCTAAAAGTTAGTAAAAGTAAAGTGAGATCATGTAGCATTCTAATGCATCGTTATGGTGGTTAGATAAACTGCCACAAAACAATCCAACTGTTTGGTCTGAATTCATAAGAATGTAAAATACAGCAGAAAGGTGGTACGTTTCCAAGGTTTTTGTTCATTTGAAGTGATTCCACCTGTGTTCTTAAATTCTCATGCTAATAATTTATTGATGTATAAGTGCTACATGTAACAACTTTACAAGCCATATTGAGCCAGTGGTGATTTTAAATTTAAGATGAGTTGTGGGAGAACGCTTTAGTATTCTGACAAAATAAATTTTGCATTTCCTTGTTGTACTATTCTATTAGGTCTTTATCTTACCCCTTGTTGCCCCAAATGTTCTTAATCTGTTGGCAGTGGGTCACAGTTTTGTCGTCTGCACAACTCTTCTGTGATCTGCTTCCGACTCGTATGTCCTCTTCCTGATGACTTCCACTTAAGCCACCTCTTCTTTTCGTGTGTTTGCATCTCCCTACTGTCTCAGTAACACTGGAAAATCTTATTTCTATGAGGGGAAACAATCATCCTTTCTTCTGCTTTGTCCAAGCTGTCTGGAAAAGTCTGATCTTGCTCTTATGCTCTTAGGATTTAAAGCTGCGTTCCCATCAAAGTGCACAAGTTTTGACTGAGAAGTTCTTTCTTGTACTTTGTACCAGTACATTCACTCTTTGTCATTGGTTACTTTATCTTTTTCCCCCCTTCTTCTACCATCCATCCATCCATCCGTCCATTCGTCAATTAATCATCCATTCATCATTCGCCTGAGGACAGAAACGCAAGTCCAGCTCTACTGTCCAGTACATGGTGAGCATGCTATTTATGCATTTGCCCAGTCACTGGTTTTTGTTGCTACCTCTCTCCACGTCTCAACTCCTTCCTCCACTTCTTTCTTTTATCCACATTTCCCTGTCTTTACTTCACTAAAGTATTAATCTGTGACACAGTGGTGCCCAATGCCTGACAAATTTTGTATTCAAACAGCAGTCCAGTTTCACGCTGGCATTTCCTGGGAATAATAAAAATAATTACAGCAGCCCCTTGTTAGGAATAACATAAAATGAGAAGTTAACTTGAGCAGCAACAAAACATTTACAGAAAGTCAAACTTCAGTGCCAGGCAGAAGTCACAGCTTTAGGCCTTGCACAGTGCACTACCATAGGACCAACCCTGACATTATTCTGAGAACGTAATAGAAGCAGGATGTTTTAGTTCCATCAGTTACTCCAGGGATGCTGCTCCAGTTCTGTCAGGGGCACACTTTTAGAAATAGAAGAAGCGCTTGTGCTTGTAGTTTTGATATGGGACTCTTCTGTCTTACAAGACATTGCACATTCTTCAAACAACAAGTAGGTAAAAAGGAATGGGTAGGTGGGGGCATACTTGCTCCTGGGACAACCTCTTAGCACTGAGTACAACATGTGACACAAATTCAGGTAAGTGAATTGGAAGGGAATTTGACCCCTCCTTCCTGCCCTGAGGCACCTATTTCCTCTGACCTGACCCTTTTTTCCACACACCCATAATCCCATCTGCATCTCCTCCTTTGTTCTCCCTGTGCACTACTTTTTTTCCACCTGAAGGAACCACCTGTGTACTTTTACCCACTTTCCCGTTCTCTGTTCTTGGTAACATCATTAAAAGATATTGATTGTGAAGATTTGTGATCTGTACTCTGCATATATTCTCTGATGTGCATCCTCATGGTTTTGCTTTCAATATGACGAAATGTATGGCTTTGGATGTCAACGGTTGTCTCCACTTGCAAAGCTTTGGACAAGACTTCTGTCAGCATTGCAGTTTTTTCACTGTCATCCAGGACTACAAGGGGCTTTCTCCTCACAGACATTCATGACGCAAATGCTGAGACCCTGGGTTAATACTGCAAACAAGACATCTCACCCTCTAATCGTTACTTTGATCAGGGTTGCTCGGCAGAGGCAGCGGAGTAATGACTGACGATGGCGGTTGTGGTTGAGTGTAATGTGTGCATGAGTGTGGGTGTTTGTTTGGTCACGGGTATGTGTGACTTCACTGTGTGTGTGTTTTTCAAATGTCTATATGTCAGCTTATTGTCAGCTATCAACAGCTTTTTTTATGGCTTTTTTGTGTGTGTCTGCATTGTGTTGTGTGTTTGCACTTGTGTGTGCTGACGTATCTCCTCTCCTCTCCTCTCCTCTCCTCTCCTCTCCTCTCCTCTTTTGAGTAAGCCCAGTGGCTTACAGAATATTATTTTATATTTATTAGAATAGTTAACACACATGACTGACTAGTTGGAATTGCTTAGATGTAACATGATTAAGATTTATGTAATAGTAGCTTTTTGAAGCGAGTCACTTTGGTGATTCGCTTCCACACCCAGGAGCCCCATTTAGCAATTTCAAGTTAATATATTTCCACACAAGATTACAAGTAATGTAATGTAGATTCATGTAGATATCATTATGATTGAACAGAACTATAAAGCACTGGCCGCTTTTGATGTGTGGTCTTCAAAGGATCATTTGATCGTGGCTTAAGAAGGTGATCCATTACAGCCAAATGGCATGGTTGGATTGTTACGATGTGGACAGCGGAAGTTGCCAGTGACAACATGATGATGTCACACAATGTCACTCGCCCACCTCATGTCACCTCACAGAATTACAAATCACAAATGTGAATGAATGTTTTATGTAAATCTTTCGTCATTGCTGCTGCTGGACTCCACCTTTATCTTACTATGCTTTTGGGGACCTTCAATTACAGCTTAACCACAATTTTCCTCCTGTTAATTTGACACTTTCTATTACAGACTTAAAAGTTTAACCTTGAACTCTAAACCAAAGCCCAGACCCTAAATCTACAGTATTATTACCGAAAAGACTTTTCTCTAGTCCTATTCTAGCTTTTTGGCAGTGACATCAATTTTGTCTAAGAGGACTTTGAGCAGCACAATCAAAACTCCATTGAACTTATATTGGCGTGACGGGAGACATGTGGAAAAATCTCATAAACCTAAACTTCTCAAATTCAGTTTTTAATTCTAACTAAAAAGAAAAGACAATTAACCAAAAGGATGTCACACACACGAAGGTGAAAAGCTTGTTCTCACAAGGTTAGGAGTGCAAGGACATAAACTTGCATACAAGCGCACACATACAGATGCATGGACACGCTTGTACACCCACCACTTGCTGTTGTTAACACTCTTGTTGTGTCTCATCCCTTTCCTCTCCTTTCCTGCACAGCCCCAGACAAACAGCACCAAAAACAGCATAGTCACCAGCCCCAAAGGAAACATCCCTTCACCTGCTCTGGTATTTACCTCCTAAGCCCCCCCTTCCGCTGTGTATCTGTCTGTCTGTCTATTACACCGCCCGTCTTTCCCTTAATGACCCTACTTTCACCCTACCCTACTTCCCTAATACTTCAACTTTGTCTGTTTTTCCTCTGTGTCTGTCTTGTGGATTGTGGATCTTTGCCTAGCTGCTACGATGGCCACAGCAGTTGGAAAGGTCTTAAACTAGCAGGTGGTGTCAGGAAACATTGCCCCATGGAAGGTGGGGATGCTATGTGACTCGTAACCTGGTTGATATTGTGCTGCCATGTCATTTTCTCTGTCAGTGAAAGTTTGCCAAAGAGGAACCGACAGCCAATGCCTGATGGGGCTGTCAGTGCGATTTACCCCCTCCTTCCTATTTATGCCCCTGTAGAGGAGCGGTTCCCCGCCGTGTGAGCATCAAAGTCCAAAGCTTTGCAGATTGTCCTTCCAGCCAAATAGCACACCACCTGATTTCAGAGAGTAATTCCTCCTCTTTTGTATATAGGTGTGAAAATCAGGGAAATTGGCTGATTGGCTGGAATGAAAACCTGCATGCTCTGGGACTTCTGGCTCACAAACAACTTTTATACTTTTACTTGGCATCAGGCCTCCGTGGGAGATCTGAGAGAAGTTATTTGTGTTCATTAATTGCTTCTCTTCTTGATTTGTGTGGACATGGTTCCATTTACATATTTCAGTGGTTGGGTGGTTGAGTTGTAGACAGGGGAACTGCTGCAGCAAGTTCCATTTTCCATCATTTTCAATGATTGAAAGATTTTATTTGTGAATCTGTAATAATGAGATCCCCCAACAATACACCTTTTGGATAAATAAGCCCAAAAATGTCTTAACAAATATTTAAGTTTTACATTAATATTGACAATTTTAAATAGATTTTTAATTGTCCTACCTCTCAGCAGCTATTTTCAGTCTCTGCTGTTTAAAAAACTATAGCCTATAGGCATCCGGGGATCTACACACTACACCTTGTGTTATTATAATGAACCAAATTGTTCTCAGAAAAATCTTTCCTATCAAATTCTTTTTAACGCAAAAACACTGCTGATCCCCCCCATGCTGCGTATGGTTTACTGTCGTCATCATTTATCAGTTGGAGTTGATGAAAACAATAAAAACCTCCACTCTTGCTCTGTTCTTCATGACTAAAGCTATCTACAGTGTTGTGTGAATGATCTGCTAATCATTCAGGGTTAAGCATTACAGGAGGCGACAGCTTCATGGCATGTGGTATTTTCTTTTTTCCAAACTGCCTTTCACAGCTACTCCAGGCTGATCTCTATCATTTTCAGTAAATACTAAATTAGATGAACATTTTAATGTTATCAGCTTGCATTTGTTTTCTGATACCATCATGGTACTACTGTAGAAGAATGCGGAAATATAAATAAAGGCTTTAAAGACAGGAAAAACTTGTCCTGAACCATTCTGTAAACATTTGGACATTAATCATGCATCACGTCATTTTAGTTGTTTTCCAGCAGTGAGGCACATTTGCTAGTATGTGAGAGCGTAATGTTTCTGACACTATTTTCTACTGCACATTATTAAGTCAGAATAGCTGTATTATATCATGGCCTTTATATGCCCAGGCCGGTTGCCATGCTCAATCGTAAGTCACTGGCAACCGAGTCCTAGATGCCACACAAATGATCTCACCAACTGTAACACAGCTGAGAACTTGGGCAAGTTTGGGTTTGCTGTTTGGAACTGCTACACGCTAAATATAGCTTTATCACACTGGCTATACAAAGCCCTATCTAATCATGTAATCATAATATGTCATTTCTAGGCTGTTGGTCAGTGGTTACCTTGTTGATGGTAAAGCCTTGCTTCAGCTTGACACTGTGATAGAAACTAGCCACCTTCTTTAATTCCTTTTGTCAGAGAAGGCAAAATGCCAAGCACAGTCACCGATGGAGCAACAGGTGCAGCCATATGAGCGTGTTTTTTGTGCGTTCATGCATGTGATTTTAGCTGAAAACTCAGTCCATTCTGCACATGTGCAGACATGTTATTGGAAGTGCTTGAAGGGAAGTTTACGTTCATGTGCTTAAAAGTGTGAATGGAAGTGTGGGCACAACCATGGAGCAGAACTTAGGTTTTAGTTTTTCTGATCCTTGAAGGGCATAATGAGTGGGAGGGTGCCTGTGATCTCCATGCTGTTGCTAGGGACTTGAGCAAGTTACTGTTTAGCCATTTGGTACATTAACTCCTTCATTACAGAGTTGGCAGGCCATAGAGAGACACTTCATGCCTTCATTTACATGACCCTAATTTTCTGACTTGGAAGCATTTAAGTAGGGTGATGGGAATCTTAAATGTGTACATGTACTTAAATATATATGTCACATGACTCTATTTATATCTAGACCATCTAAATGAAATGTTTTCACTTACCTGCACTACGAGAACATGCCAGTAAGAGCAGCAGTGTTCATGTGAGGCCAACAGTGATGTGTAATGGCCAAACCCTTCCCCATCTGATGATGTGACGCTTACGCCCCCTCCTTTGAATCTGCAAACCCCAGGTACTTTGTTCTCACTCATCATCATCATCTCCCAAGTTGCCACTGGTGCTTGTTGCCCTGGGCGACGGTTGCCCTGACAACACCGCCATCATCACCAGGGAGAAAGCTGATGATTGGTCATCACAGAGGTGTCACTTCCTGGGGGGGCGGGCGAGAGAATATGGAGGGATGAGGGGGTGGGGGGGTGGTGGGTTCTGATTTACTGTACATCAAAAGACGGTTCTTAGCCGACTGTGGAGAGCTGTAGGAAAGGGAGAAAATATATCTGTCCCTAGTCTGAATCATCAGCAATCAATGTCTGTTGTTTAGGGTAACACAGTGAGCCATAAGGGTCAGGTACCAGTGTTTGAAAGGAGCCAATAATGCTACAAACATAGTAACAGCAGAAAAGCCATTGTTTATTGAAGAAATTGTAATAAAAGATGAAAGAAGAAAAAGGTACAACTTACTGCGGAGAAAAGTTATAGTGTTTGGCTAATCTTGTGGAGTTGACTGATTTCAGACTGAATTTCTTTTAGAAAGCGGAGCCTGAAGTGATGCCAGTGTCTGCCCAGCAGTACTCGCCTTTTCTGTTGAGACAAGTGTGAAGGAACAGAATGACCCGTTTTCATCTTGTGGGCCATCTTTTTGCTTTGTGTGCCAGTGCTTGGAAGATGTTGAGGCTAGTGTTTATATATGTCAGAGAACATTTCATTTATATTCTATGAGCCGGCGGATTTTCTCTTAATTTTATTATACAGTTTTCAATTTAGAATTATGCATGCACAGCAGGACAGTGTGGAAATGGAAGGGCACCCATGTTCAGCAAAACCCTGCATAAGTTAAGGGCTAATTTTGAGTGTGACTTTATCCTTTGCTTCTCCGTAGGGTGTGTACTGTAACTGTGTGTGTGAGAGTGCGAGAGAGAGAAATTTTGTGAGTACTGATGTGCTCATGACAGACTCTTCACCCTGAGTTTCAGTACTGTCTCTGTTCTTGGTGTTGGTGTGCGTGCGTGTGTGTTTGCGCGCACACGCCGCATATGCAGAGAACAGAACTGACTCCAAATTACGGTTTTCAGCTCATCCACCCACTCACTCGCTCTGGAGGATTCTTCCTTCTCTCCTTTGTCAACCTTAACAAGCACTTTCTCTTCATCCAACATTCATATTGGTATTTTTTTTACTCTTTGTCCATTTTTTACACTTTGTCCATCTCTATCTACTTTTATGTCACAACCTTTTCTCTTTCCTTCCCTCCCTTTCTCTCCTACTTTCTTTCCTTTCTCTCGTTTATTCCATTTTCCTCCTCCTCCTCTTCCTCCAGGAACCACAGACAACAGTCATCCATAATCCAGTGGACGGGACGAAGGTATACCTCATTCCCTAGTCCTGACCCATTCTTTATCCTCTTTGTCATTCTCCTCCTTTTCCTCATCTTCTCCTGCTCTTTGATCCATTTCATCATGCATCTGTGTGACCGCACCATGGCTTTGGTTTACTAACGTGTATGTGCATATGTCTGTGCTTGTGTGTGTGTGTGTGTGTGTGTGTGTGTGTGTGTGTGTGTGTGTGTGTGTGTGTGTGTGTGTGTGTGTGTGTGTGTGTGTGTGTGTGTGTGTGTGTGTGTGTGTGCGTTTTGCTAAAGATTAAACTCCTCAGATAAATTACTTTATACTATGAATGGAACAAGGGGTGGATAGGATAGCAAATGTTGCTTACCTTGTTAATCAGTGCCTCATTGAGCAAGCTTTTTGTGCCAACTAGGGGACCTCAACACACACACATTAAACTCCCCAGTAGTATATCATGAACTACAGTATATAATTATGTGTAATAAGGACTTCAGGTAACTACAGCAAATAGTGTGAATGTGTCTGTATGTGTTTAGAGGTTTTGCATGAACCTGTATGACTTTGCAGAAAGATACAAACGTTTACGTATTATGCTTTTGTGTGTGTGTGTGTGTGTGTGTGTGTGTGTGTGTGTGTGTGTGTGCGCGCTACTGTGTTTGCTGAAGTTGTTTTTGCTGAGTTGTGATGCTCACAGCTAAAGAGGGACTTAACTGACCTTTGCATTAGATTTTGGGTCAGACCTCAGGAAGCTTCGAATTGTGTACAGCAGCAGGTCTCTGAGAGTTCATAGAGTCTACACAGGAAAGCACTGGAAGTATATGGGAAGATCACTGCTTCACTGTAGTTTTACACCAGGCTGGTTTAAAGCAGCTTACTTGACATCTAGAACAGTTGCTCGTCTTGTTTCAACCCTTAAGTCTAAATAGGTGAAATGTCTCAATATATGGGCTGAGAAATGAATGTAGTATATAAGTAAGTGTGTCATATTGACATAGGTAATGTTTGACATGCACTAGCTTGCCTGTAATGTGGCAGGATGAAACAAAATGTATGAAATGCAAAATGTCACAGAGACAACGTCTCTATGATTCAGACCAAAGAAAACTAACTGTAGGTGTGATCACACTTTTAGTGATATTTCTAATATTTGAGGATGCTTACCGCATTTCTCTCCCTCACACTCACACATACACACACTTCGCTCGTTCCTTAGGTCACCAGCTGCTCTTTAGAAGGCTATGAAACCACTTATGTGCTTTGCGCTCATGATGATGTTCGTGCACGCGTGTACTTCTAATGAGGTCATTGAGACTCTCAACTCTCCTCTACATGCAGGGGAATTTAGGTCCATTTAATCTGCTAATTGGAAATCAGAAGCTAACTTCTCCTCTGGCGAAAGCCTGAGAAGAGAAAAGACAGCCAGGCAGACAAAAAGGTAGATGGATAGATTGTACGACATGAAGTCTCGCTTAAAATGACAACTAATTGGCCTTTGAGAAACCATTCTGACTGTTTCCATTGTTGAAATAGATAGATGGAGCACATCCCATTGAGTTTCTGTCAGTTTCTACAAGAGACAAGAGCACCCTGTGGAGGAAAGACGTCACTCTTCCACGTGGTGGGATGCACACACACACACACACACACACACACACACACACACACACACTCTCTAAGGATGAAGCAGAGGGAGCTTGGAGTAGAAGAAGAGAAAAAAAGTTTCAGGCCAAGGGTAAAGAAGTCACACAGTGGCTGGTTTGCTGGTATGGTTTGACTTTCTATTTGCAAAGGTTGGATGGTTATGACACATTAACATAGCTGCAACAATATTGGGATTTTGTCCTGGTTTGGCATGTGTTTATAATTTATTATTTAATCCCCATTAATTGGCTTTGATGTATTTGGTGCTCTGTAATCAGTTTTTGTTTTGGGAAGACTCGACATGGCAACATAGTAATATGCCCCCTGCTGGCTTGTGTGCTGATTATGTAAAACATGTCTCTACCGCTGTTGTGACGTGTCTTTATGTGTATAAATGTGTGTGCTATTATGTTTGAACCCAAACTAACTGTCTCATCTATGATCTCTAGGAGTCATCAGACAGCAGCAACACCACTGTGGAGGATGAAGATGTGAAAGGTAAGACTGCAGAGATATAAAACACGACAAATTCCAAGACTTAAAAGCGTCTAGTACTGAACAGTTTGCTGCAAAAGGTTGATCCTCGAATTTTGGAGCATCACTTGACATTTCCACTATAATTGTTTCCTGCTGCAGCCAGTCAGTGAACAACCTGCATAACTGCAGAACTCCACCATGAGGTGCCTCTCACAAGCATAAATATCACATGATGCTTTCAGAAAAGTAATTTTTTGAAACAATAGAAGCAATAAAAAAGAAGTGGATGACAGTGGGCAGATAGCACACTTGACCAGAAAGTAAAAGAAATTGGCTTAATTGTTGTTCAGTTGGGCTTATAAAGTTTTCAGCTTGTAATGGTGGATTGTGACAAGCTAAAGTTTCACATTGATTCCTTAATTCTCCTTGCAGTAAAAGTTGTTCGTTATTTGTTACTGACATAATTATAAGCTTAGTAATTACAGTTACAGCCTACAAAAAGGCCTCTCACAGCTGGTGCCCTGCTTTGCATGAGCCTCTTGTTTATTAGATGGTTAGATAAGGGTGGTGATGCAGTTTGATGCCACCTGTTGAACTGAGATGTATTTTATTTTCGACAGAGTGAACATTTGTAAAAGCTTGCAACTATAATGTGGAACAAAATTATTAATTACTTTTTTTTAATGAAGTTAATGTGTAAAGACCAGAAAATAGATTTTTTTTTTATCACAACAGCACATGCTAAATGTACAGGGATTGTTATTTTGACAATGAGAGTATTACATCCACATACACATGTGTGGTATGGAATGTATAGATGTTACTCTAACTTAGTTGGCAGGCAGTCAGCGGGCTGATACCTGACCTCTTACTGAACTCTTACTGACCCCCTATGGAGCCTGGCTGTATTGCTTCCTTTTGCTGTTTTTTCAAAAAGACTGAAGAGGTGTGTGTGTGTGTGTGTGTGTGTGTGTGTGTGTGTGTGTGCGCGCCTGATACGAGATGGGGGGGGGCTGTGAAATGTAAGGGGCCTTGTAATGATGTTGGTGTTTGGTGTTTGGCTATAATCTTAATGTTGAAAAACACACACCTCTGAAATACCAACATGTCTGTACGGGGTGTCAGCTTGCAGAGTTGTGTACTTGTGTTGTGAGTTTGTGTGTATATGTTGCACACATCAGTAAATAACTTTACAAAGTGAAAATTCATAGGTTCTGCCTCTGGTAATCTATGCAAGCAGAGTACAATGCGTCTAAATCGGGTCATGAATGAGGCTTTGCTGCTGTGTCACAAATTCCCTAGCAACCATGGCAGAGCCGTCATGTAGGTCTGTAAGAAAAATGAGCCAGTGTCACAACGAGTACTACAATTGTCAAGTAGTGCTCAAGTAGAAATACCCATTATTTTACTGGTATCGTCCTTATTGTAAAATGTAAAGATGTTCTATTTAAAATTTCTCTAAGTGAAAGGGTAACTCCTTTTCCAAACTTCCAAAAATCTCACCTAAAAACCCTGAGATGATGAATTTGAAACTATATATTTTATTTAAAGTGCGAAAATTAAGAATTCCAAATTAAAGTGCACATCACAATAATTACAGACAACATTTGATTAACATAGAATAGATTTTTAACTGTAGTCCAGAACTCAACAAGTACACAGTGAATTTACCCAATGACACTGTCAGGGATGAATGTACTTCATCAGGTATGACTGGACACAAAGTTTGCCCTATGGAGCATTACATCACCTGAAAATCCTTTATACCCCCTGGCTCTACTGTACTTTACTGTACTTCCACGTACACAGTGAAATGTATCCACCCCCTACCCATTTCCTTCCCTTCCAAGGTCCCAAATTGGAGCCCCACCATCACACCCCCCTGGCAGGAGCAGAGAGGGCAAGGGCACCTTGGGGGGGAGGGGGTCAGGGCTAGAGGGGGAGGTGTCTAAATTTAGCCCTGGTGGCAGGAAATGGAGACAGAGTGCCTAGAGAGGCATTAAAAACACACCGCTCTCCTAGCGCCACCCTTAGATAGCATTAGTCTCACACAACGGTTTTAAGACTCTTAAGATACGAACGGGCAGATAGCACGATTAGTGTCAGAGAAAACTACAAGAGCCAGGTGAGTGCGGGAGGAAGGAGAGTCGTGTTTGGTTGGAATAGTTTGTGTCATGTTGGCCTGTAGGATCTTGTCAGGTCAGTGAGTGCTCGACAGCTGGTTTGTAACCCAACCCCTGAGCTGGCGTTTGGAGCATCTGAGCACATATCTGTTCTGTTACTCTCAATACTTTTATACTGGTTGTACATGTTACACACACCGTCTCCTGAGGGCTGCTTGTTGTGAGTCGTTAATCTACAGTTTCGTTGTGTAGGGTGATAATTCTTTACGCGAGTTATGATTTATAGGATTGCTTGCTGTTAAATTGATAAACGTCAAGTTCTTCTTTTTGTGACATCTGTGGAATTAAGTGTTAATTGGTGGGATGTTTCTGCGCAGCACTTGCGAGGGATCACCTGTCAGTCAACCAGTGTGGGCTGTGCTGTGACGTCTTTTTTTCTTTGGATTTCCCTCATTATGTTTGGTTTCTGTAGTTAGTAGCCACTTTTACCTGAGAGTAGGAAAATTGCCATTTACAGATGCAAATGTTGTGGATTGTTTCTGTTTATCTGTGAATTTAATTTAATCACATTTGAGAGGGCGCAGTTATGCCCCTGTCAATGCAGCAGGAATCTCCTGTATTTTTTTTTTCTCCTTGCCAGTCTCGTGCCCTCTGTTTTTTCCTACAGGGATGCTTTCTTTCCCCTCTGTTTGTCAATGAGTGTTCATGTGTTGCGTTTCCCTCTGTGCCAGCTGATTAAACAGACGAGCGGTAATGAATAACATCCAACTCTCTCATTATCATGGCCATCACCATTGTCATCATCCATCCTCTGCTCACTGGCAAGACTCCCATTAAAGTCTCAGCAAAACCTCACATGCAGCAGCAGCGTCAGTTGTAAGTCCTGCTGTAATGGAGTCATTAACTCGAATAATGAACAAAAGGCTTTTTTTCTTCTTCTTTTTTTGGCTCTTTTTCAGTGACATCTAGGGACAGTGTCTGGTGTCAGTGAAAAGTAGCTGTAATAAAGGTTGACTGGGTTTATCATCTTGTACTTATCTGCCCCTACCGTCTCACTTTGCCCTCCCCATCATTCCTCTGTGTGACATTTCAGTTGTGTTTTTGCGTGCAATATGTGCAGCTGGTGGTCATCTCTCTCTACATGTTTGTTTTTGGTCTCATTCTGTGTGTGTGTGTTTGTTTGTGCACATGTTATCAGGAAAGAGCTTAGACAACAGCTCGCTTAAGGCGCAGTCCAGCACAAGCTCCCAGCCTGATAGCTCTCAGGGCTCCTCAGCTGCTGTGTACTGTAAGTCAGCATGGCCCGCCAAATGCAGACCATAACGCATCATCAGCATTCATTTGCTGTACTGGTAATTTAACTTGACTAAAACCTTCCTTGTGTGTATTGCATACAGCGACCCCCTGCATGTATTAAAAGCAAACATCTGCTGCTATTTAGCACCAATAAATCCCTAAAGTACCCTGACTTGCGCTGTGCTTCGTCGCTCCTTTTGAGTCTTCTTAGTTTGCACCATTCCTATGTCTTACTATCAGACAGTCCAAAGCATTTAATAACAACATAAATTCTCAGAAAAAATAAGCCCTTCTGAAAAACAGTGAGATACTTTGTAGTATTTCTAATCCTCTACCGTCCCATTCTACCCCCTGTGCTGCCCACGCCATGTGTGTTTACAATAACTCGTTGTCTCCTTCCCATGGACAAATGTGGAATAGCAACACAATACTGCTCCATGAGTATCCGTATCTTAACTGTGTTGTTCAGACATTTCTAAGCATGAATTTTGCTCTTTTATGTTCCCTTCACTGAGCTCTAATGATTCATCCAGTACCACGGTTTCACAGTAAATGAAACTGCATTGCTGTTTGTGTTTTATATATGTCACCTTTTTTCATGTTTGGCTGGGTGGTCTGCTTGTCTAAATGCACTCCTAGATGGACTTCATGTTCATCTGAATGGCCTCAGTGCCTTGGTCAACCATCCATTGAAGTACACTGTCTCTCATGTTCCTCCCTTCCTCCCTCCTGAACCCAGCTGCCACAAAGTTTGCTGACCTGCTGGGCTCAGTTCGTAGGGGCTCAGGGCCCACGTCTGACGGGGAAGGGAGATCCTGCACTCCACCTCCCGCTGTCCTCTCCGCCCCCTCCCCTCCACACACCCCTGTTGTCCCCATGCAGAGTAAGTAGAAAAGAGCAAGAACAGGGAGTGTACAGCAGACGACCACTGGAAAAGAAAAAGTGGCCATGAGACATGAACTGGCATCTCCTGTTCCTCTGTTCCCATGCCAAGATGATTCATGAAAAGATGGATTCTGATTGACTGACTCTTGTCATTTTTCATTTTGGGAAGGAATGAAAAGGAGTAAAACGACTTCATAGATCACTTTCTTATTTTAAAATGGCACTAAAGAAATATGAAAATGTTAAAACCACAACTGCAGATTTAAAAGAAATTGCTGTGACGACATTTTAAGTAAGAAAAAAAAACTATTAAAGGATAAATGTTCCCTTCCAAATCCAATGAAAAGAGCAAAGTCAACAATTAATTGATAATACGTATAACTGTATAGTCAAATGTTTGTTCTTTCCTATAGGCCTCAATTGTTGCAAAGTGTTAAAAACACAGCAATGATTGACATGCTCATTACAATGAACATGAGCACTGAAGTTTATTTTGAGTCATACAGCTGCTGTAAAATACTCAATGGCACACCAAATATGTATTATTCCACTGCTGAAAATAGTCCCAAACTATTCTAAACTAAACTCCCATTTGAGTAACGTTTGTTAAAACCCACAGTGCCAAGCTAAATTAGGAAATTACTGAGAGTTTTTTTTTTTAAATGAAACTATATATTTATTTACCCTTTTTATATAAGTGGATTGACTTTCGTACATTAAGCAGGATATAGTTCAAAGGCAGCAAAACTATGTTAATGTATAATCGATGAAACCATCTTTTATGAAAAGTTGTGATAATTAGAAATAGTGAGGACAAGTTCAATTCATGTTTATTGTGACTACAAATACACAAATTCCTAAAGGGATTTCCTTGTTACTTCATTCCTTTATTCTCTTTTTCTTTCCCTCCTCTTCTGTTTCTAATCTATTATTTTGCATTCCTCCACCTCCACCATCACCCACCCATCCATCTTACCTGAATGGCGGCCAGTGTCTCGGCTCACAGACCTGGTAAGCAGCGTACGCAGGGTGCCGGTAGCCCCAGCACCTGAGGTTGATGCTGCGCCGGCGCCTAGCGCCAGGCCCACCCCTTCACCTGCACACACCACCTCCCCACCTCCCCCTCACTCTTCATCCAGCCCTTCCCTGTCTTCCTCCCAGAGTGAGTACCGAGCATGACCCACCCCCACGCATGGTAGCCAATCACGGGGGTGAATCAAAGACATTTCAGGTTTTCAGTGCAGGCCTGTGTGTGTTCTGCTTTTGGTACATAGAGAAGGGTACATTGTGTTGTTAAACTGCTCTTTTGTCAGCTGAGTTAGAAATGAAACTTTCTGGATGGGTGTGCTTTGCCTCTGAGCCCTATTAACCCCCCCATGGTTAGTAGTGCTGGCTTCAGACAGATTTGTTGTTTTGTTGTTTTGGACTAGTTGTGATGTCTTGGAGTAAATAGGTGACGTTGCTTGTGGTGAAGGAGATGACTTGTGTGTGCTCATAGTACAGTGTAGTTGTTCAGGATCACATGATCAGAAAGGTCTCTATGTGTGTAGATGTCTGATTTTATCTCTTTGACATGTTCAGTGAAAGAAATGTATTACCAAACTAATTCAAATAATTAACTTGTTTAGGCTTCACAGATGTTTGTGAAGAAACTTCACTATAAAGCATATTTTTCCTGCTTCTTGTATGAACAACAAACAAAGTTTACTCTGACACATTTTCACGGTATTCTCAGTAAGTATGAATGTACATTGGGTTTCTAACTGGCTTTGCCTAAACATCTGTTTTGTTGCGTTAATACATTAAAATCACTTAAAAACTAACTGCTCTCCATCTGTTTTTGTTTACCCCTAATTAACTTCTGTTCTTACCGTCCACTGCAGCACGCAAACAAGAAATTATCAAGATCACTGAGCAGCTGATCGAGGCAATCAACAATGGAGACTTTGAGGCATACGCGTGAGTTTACATTTTTGTGTTTGGTTTGTGTTAAAATGTATAGTTTAAAGTTAATGTCTGGCTTCATTAACATGTGCTGCTCTTTCCTCTCCAGTAAGATCTGCGACCCTGGACTGACCTCGTTTGAACCGGAGGCGCTGGGCAACCTAGTAGAGGGGATGGATTTCCACAGATTCTACTTTGAAAACCGTAAGATAGATAGATTTGTTGTCATTTTTTGAAAAATCGCTTCTCATACTGTTGCAGTCTTGCTGGTTAATAATGGGAATTTGAAAATCTTTTTTATTTCTTGATCTGGTTTCTTTTTGTTGTATCTGTCTTTTTGTTTTAGAGTAAACATGCACGTCTCATTAGTCAGAACCCTAAAATGGGGCTCAAAAAGAGAATGTAGGCAGTCTTTACTCATTCAGCTGCTGTAGATCTCTCCATTTGCCCTATTGCTGGTTTCAGCTGTCAGAAATAGACCACATTCGGAAGCGTGAAATAAAAAATGGAAGTAGGGAAGTGTAACTAAAGCTCCATCCTGAAAAAAAAATCATATTCCACAGCAGCTCCCACATCCACTGAGCTTGAGATGATTAGTGCATTTGTCAAATTCGCATCCTTATTGGGTGTCAATGTGTGAAACTTCATAACACTTCTTGTAAATACAGTACATGCTTTAATTTACATGTCAACTATATGAAAGTAATACAATAGTAGTAATAATAGTAGAGGAGTAATCCTGTCATTATTGACTGACATTGTTCTTTCCTTTTTTTCAGTTTTGGCTAAGAACAGCAAGCCCATCCACACCACAATCCTGAACCCCCACGTCCACCTGATTGGCGAAGATGCTGCCTGCATCGCTTACATCCGCCTGACTCAGTATGTTGACGGCCAGGGTCGGCCGCGGTCCAGCCAGTCAGAGGAAACTCGCGTTTGGCATCGCAGAGACAGCAAGTGGCAGAACATCCACTTCCACTGCTCAGGCGCACCAGCTGCGCCACTCCAGTGAGGTATGGAACAGTGGGACAACTGGGAGGACACTGACAGCCGAAAGTGTTCCTCTCATAGCTTGTTTGTACTTTCATTAAACTGCTACGGCCAATATTCACTCTAAATAGTTTGTCAGATGATGCATTTATTTTATTTATAGTTTTATTCAGTCAATCTTTCCCGCACATAGATTTACTTGCACTGACTTAATGGTCAGTGACTCATTGTAGCATTTAGATAGAAAGTCAGGAAAAGAAAATCAGTTTTTCATCAGAAAACTTAGAAACTCCACTTCAAGTTGAGGTATTCCCATCCAATATATCATTCAGGTTACTTACATGAATTTCTTTATGGTCCATGTGTGACCAGCATTACAAACAAGATACATCAACAAAACCATCGAGCTGCAAAGACATAAAAACCAGCATCAGCATCATCCTACAAGTAGGCCTATATATTTTGCCTCTTTTTCCCCGTGTTGAGGAGAGTAATAGCAGTAATAGCTGTGTTTGTGTCTGTCTTGACTGAGGGAACTCTGAAGAGGGTCCCAGAGAGTAGTGATTCTGCTGACAAAGAGAGTGGGTGCAGTCAGACAGGATGGAGTTGCCCTCTTCACCACCCTGACTGTTATACTGAACAGACTGGCTGCTCTGCTGGACGTCTGCTTCAATTCACTCTATTAGCCAGTGCATTCTTAGGTTTGATATTTAGACTGCCATACCAACGAACGAGGGAAACTGATTCTTTGTAGGATTTGTAAAGGAAAGTCATCAGGGGCCTGTCAACATCAAAACTTCACTAGTATCAAAGAATTTAGACTTGAATAGTGCTTGTGAAAAGAGTTAAGAGTTACTTTTATAGCCACCTTTTTTGCTTTGGATGGGCTATAACTGCCCCATGTTGTGTTAAAGGAATAGAGAGTTACATGAGAAGATCGATATAACTCTGAAGCTGGAGCTAGGAGACCGTTATCTCAGACGGCTGTTTCCAGTCTTTTTGCTAAGCTAAGCTAAGCTAAATGCTGGCGGTAGCTTTATATTTACTGTGCAGACCTGAGAGTGAACTCAATCCTCTCCTCTAACATTCTGCAAGAAAGCAAATAAGCCTATTTTCCAAAATGTCAAACTATTCCATTAATTTTGAAGAGGCGGCTGCACTGATCTCAGTCACACTTTAATTTATTTGATGCTGTTTTGTTTTCCTTCTCAGGGTTGAATGCCATAGCTTTGTCAGCTTTTGTCAGGAGTGCTCTGCTGGAGAGAGAGGAAGAAGAGGAGGAGGAGGAGGAGGAGGAGGAGGGGATGAAAGAACAAGTCCAGTGTCACTTTGGGGACGGGGCTCCTCGCCCTTCAGCAGCAAACCCTCCCTCACTGGACGGCCGGCCTCAACCCCCAGCATGCATCTCTTCTTTTACTACTACTGCCCCGTGTCTGTCACCTGCCCCACAACATCTTCTGACATCCAACAGCTCAACATCCTTCACCCCCTCCGGCTTCCTCTTCTTCCCTTCCGGCACATTGGGTGATAGGAGGGGGAGGGGGTGTTTTCAGCACTCAGTGGGATTCCTTCTTCCCGTGGTCTCTTTCCCCCATCCCCGTCCCCCCGTCCCCCGTCCCCACAATTTTTGTGACACCAAACCTCTTGTCCTCCTGTGAATCCACACTTGTGTGACAAACACTGCACTGGAAATACAGTATGTAAAGTTTTAAGTAAAATCTATTATTATCATTACTATATTATTATGATGATTATTATTATTACACATTTGCAATTGTATATGTAATTTGTATAATTCGAAAATTCTTGATGCCAGTGGTTTCTAGAGTTGAAGGAAATCTTTTTTTTTTGTTTGTTTTTCTCTATCTTTTTAAGGAAGCATGTTTTTTTCCCCATATTAACAGTGGCTGTTTTTTATTGTGGCTATTAAGTGGAAAATGATATTGGCAGTTTTTGTAATTTGCTTCTTGTATGTTAGCTATAATACTGCGCCCAACTGGTTTTTGTTTGTTTGTTTTGGGTTATCTTCTTCTTTTTATTTTTTTGGAAGGGGTGTCTGATGGTGTTATGTGTTCATGTAAAGAATGAATCCTAATGTGTGTGTGACTGTGGTTATGTAATCCAGACACCTAGTGTGTGCTAGTCCAGACACAATGACTCTGTACAGTTGGAGGAACCTGTTGTTTTTCCCTTTGTTGCAATGTGAGCGGCCGGAGAAGCTAGGCTCAGTGTCTTCCTGCATCAAAACGTAAACATTTCAAACATACGAAACAAACAGCACGCAATAGGAGATTAATTGTGAATTTACTTTTCCATCTTCATGTTTAACGCTGTAATGGTAGCACCCTGAATGGTGATGTCTGAAATATGAAGACAGAGAAAAAAAACATGTTGCTTTTATCAGTTAGCGACAGTGTTCCCTATCTCATTACAATGAGAACATTTTCTTAATATAACAAGATACATGATGTTGGAGTGACAACATAACAATGTATTTTGTTATAAGAAGAAACTTATATATATAATACCACATCCCTTTTACCACATTAGATGTTGGTGTATTATATAAAGAAATTATTTGTATCTTCTCTGTAACATGAAAAAATGTTACAACATGAAAGATTTAGGGATGGGATATTTCTGAGCCAGAGTCTGCCTTGACTGACAGTTGTGTGTAGTAGTGTACATACACGCATATGATAGGAATCGTTTTTTAACATGGTGGGCTGTACAGAAGAAACAAGAAGTCTGATCTCTTAGAGGGGAGAGAGCATCATTTCTCTTAAATACGGAGCATGAAAGGCTGCATGGATATAAGTCCCAGTCCTTAAACTCGGGATTGTCTTTAGTTGTCGACTGGACGGATCTTTTGAATAACATTGTTTCGCTATATAACCAACCATTTTGAACAAACTCAAGGCCACCCTGTTGTAAAAATACTCAAATTACTATTATTATAAGGAATAGAATTCACCCCAGTCAATCAATCAATCAATCAATCAATCAATGTAACACTTGGTACATTACTAAACACATCAACATTGTGTATGTAGGCCTATTGTATCACGTATCGAAACAGTTAATTCAGTAAAACATCGAATCAGAACATCAAAAATATAATGTTATTTCTTGTTTTACTTGTGATTTAATGAGATAGGCTTCTTGTTATTATGCTATATTTTGTATGTCATAATAACAAATGAAATATGTCAAACTGTTACATCAAAGTATCTTGCTGTAATTGCAATATGTTTGGCTCGCAGTAGCAGTGACTTCCTAAAACCTCACTGTCCTTTGACACCACACCTCGTTCTTCTCGCACAGTAATGGTTCATATACATTTTCATACAAATCTCAGTGAGCGAGTAGTTCAGCTTTGACCACTGTTTCCGCAGGGAGACGTTTTTTTCCCCAGCTAGTGGTGCTAAAAAGGTGGTCGGGGAGAGATGCGCTGTTGGTGGCTCCTGATGTTGCTAGGCAACAGCCGAATACCCGCTTGAAGCTCAGTGCGCTCTTCCTAAAAGTTGTGATATTTTTAACTCGCTAAAATCTCTGTGCTGCCTGGAACACAACAGCAGCTCCTTTTTTCTTTTCAATCAAAATGAAGAAGCAAGAGCAGTGCACTATAGAAAGGCTGCCGGAGGCTGTGTGACCTTTCTCACTTCTAAAGCCGCAGTGCAGAAAGCTGGTGCCACTGCCTCTCTGTCCATACGAAGCATATGCATACAGAAAAGTAACATTTAGTCATATTAGTGATGAAGAAGGATATTCTTGCTTGAAGCCTCGACAAGTGTTTCCCGGCCGTACCGCGAGTTCATAAACGTCCGCACATATTGAGGTTTGCGTAGGGCTTCACTGTTCTGTGGTCTGGTTCCTCATTTCAGGGCAGTCCCTCGCCAAAGGGTGCAATATTTGTGTGTGTGTGTGTGTGTGTGTCTGCAAGCATGTACAGTACATCCATTGGTCTCAGTGTGTATTCTTAATAAGCCTGGGGGGTGTGTGTGTCGTGTGAGAGATGGAAGGAGAAGGCTTTATTTCGGAGGACACATCAGTCCCCTGCCTTCAGCCCAGGACTTTTTTTTTTCTTATGAGTTGCTCTGTTTTTGTTTTTTTTTTCTCATGTATTATGTTTTTTGTGTAATATTTGCTTTTTATGATATGAAGTGCTTGTGCCAGGTGGGGCAGGATAAATCCGATGGACTTTGCAGCACTGAAAACTGTTTTTGTAGGGGTTTGACTTGGAATCAGCTCCTCTGTACTTTGCTCGTCCACCATTGGCTGCCTTCACATTTGTCTCACCCCTATTGGTCAGACCAAGATATTAAGAGACCGGGCAGTCAGTTTGGTGAATAGTCCTCAGGTTTCTATTTATTTTGAATATTTATTTATTTATTTTAGTGGATATTTTTATTGTGCTTCTTTCTTTTCTTTTTTTGTTTTTGTTTTGTTTTCCTATTGTACAGCTCATGCACTTGTGCAAGTACTGTTCGTTGTTGTTCAAAGGGACACTGCTCCATGTAAAACATGACTGTTTTTAAAGGGATAGTACACCCAATTTGCATCCTGCATGTTTTTTTTTTTCTAACGACCAACATGGTGTGAATTACTTTTTTCTTCAGCATCTTTAGATTTAGGTTTGTGACATTGTTTTTGCAGTTTTATGGTGTCCATTTATTTTCCTTCCACGTAGGTCATTACCACTTTGCCAGAGTGGGACATCTATCACTTTAAAACTCATATAATACAGGATTGTATTTTGTGTGAACTATCCCTCCCTTTCAAATGAAGGTTTTTTTTTTTTAAAGGTGAACCACTGAGTCATTGTATCGTACTCATGTCTCATCCAGTAACAGTGTTAATGCCTAGTTGGCCCTGTTTAATACTAAAAGGTCAAAGGTTACCTGAAAGCGTTCATGCGTGATCGTGCTAACCAAACATGACCCCCACCCCCCTCTGAAAAAAGAAGAAAAAGCAGCATGTACAGTACAAAGGTGTTGTTCTTCTGTTCTTCTTAGTGTGTTTACTAGCCTTGAAAATCAATATAATAAGATTCACATATTTAAAATGAGGGAGTTCACAGTATTACACAACTGCAACAAACTAGCAGCGTAGCTGGCATTTTCTTTGCATGACAGTCAACGGGACACTTGTTTTTTTGGTGTTTTCCTTTTTATTTGAGTTCTCATTTTCTACTGAATGCTGGTATACTCGACCTTTCTCTGTCTATTTTCTCAGCTTTTTTAAGTGCATATAACTATTTTTGTCTCAAGATGATATAATGAAGATTATTATGATGATCAGAATGATGTTGTGGCACTATGAGGATGACTATGAGGATGTTGACAGTGATGATGATGATGATGATGATGTGCTGAAGATTATCTCGCATGCTTTTCTATGGGACTCTGTGTTGTCAGTGCAGAATGGCTGCCTTTTGTACGTAGCTGAGAGAATACGAGGAGCACTTGTTGACCATCAGCACCAAGAGTGTGCTTCATTTAGCCTGCTGCATGTCACTTTGAGGAACAGCACTTGAGTCTGACTAACAGATCATAGGCAGTTCAACGTGTTAATGAGCTCCAGCAGGGGGCGCAGCCACACAAAGTAAAGCACAAACACACAGATGGATGGCAGATTGATGCTTCTAATGTAGTTGCACAATACGTTTTTTAGTGTCAAATCTAACAGACAATCCAGTCAGAGACAACAGCAGTTAGAATAAGAAAAAGCTTCCATTATTACTGTTGATCAGGGCTGCACATTTATGACTAAAATGACCATCCTGATTACACTTTGACATCATGATGTTGATGCATGATTGTTTTCCTCAGTGATGTTGGGGAACAAAATCATTCTCCTTTATTAATCTTGTATTTGAAACTGTTTCCAGACACTTTTTACATTCTTTACTAAATAAAATGTAACAATACCACTGATAAATCATGATTTTATATGACTGATCAAAGCTGAAATCAAGATAGAAAACGATTAATTGTGCAGCCCTACATATAAACTACAATAACTGTCCTTCTAGTTACTTGAGGTCAGTGCGAGCTCTGCTGCCTTCCTGTCAGCTATTTAGTCAGATGAAGCATTACTGAGATAAACTAGAGCCAGTGTGTTCACTCTGAACCTCTGCCAGTGCACTGCAAGTTGTACTGACAACACTGAGTTGGCTTCTCTTCATAGGGTGTCTTTCACTCTTTCTCCCATTCCCTCTGTTTCCAAACTTATTCAATCATTTCTCTGCAGTTGGCTCTTTCTAGTTTCCCTTTGTCTCTTTCTGTCAGTTTGGGTTTCTTCTGTATATTAATATTAATCCTCTAGTTCTCTGATTCTTCGGATTATTGCTCTGTTCTCTTACGTGCTACACATGTTTCTATAACTTCAAGAAAATGTGTTAAGGTGTTATCAATAAAATGATCATTTAAATAGAAATATGAATCGGTTTCTGTTTCTGCAAATAAAATTGCATCTTTGATTTTTTCATTATTTATTATTGATTTATTATTTATTTAACTTGGGAAATAACATACAAGTTGAATCCACTCATCCAGTGTAAATCCGGAAGTTCAACCAACACACAGGAACAAACAGCAGCTCTGCTTTAATAAATGTTCGAGAATAATGAAAGAATTCTGCTATACTATCATAAACACAAAGATTGATGTTAGAGATCAAGATTAAGGTGACCGCCAACAGCAACCTTTGCAGTCAACATTTTAATACATGTTATTGGGAGTGACACTTCCTTCTGACATTAACAATGTGAATGAAGTTGTTTAATCAACTGCCACCTATACTTACTAATATATATTGGTGACAATTTGAACAATAATATTATTTTCTGATATTTTATTGGCAAAATAATTACAGATTAATTGATAATAGAAACAGTCTTTAGTTGAATCTTTAATCCAAATTACCTTAAAGTGAATAATGAATCTATGCCATTTTAACTCTAATTTGGATCAAACCTTGAGAAATACAAGCTGTGTCTAATATTATCAAACAATTTCTGCAGAATTTTCTACAGTCAAAGAAACACAAATAGCAGTTTTAGCATTAACAGCTGCTCCAACACAGAAATATGGGAAGAGTTTCTCAGTGAAATTGTCTCTGTGAGTGAAGATGTGAGTCATGAGTTCAGGGTCGTAGAAGGACACCTCTCCTCTGTCATAGTCCAGCTGGACTCTGATCTTCTGGAGACTCTTCTTCACTGTGACAGTCTTACCAAGACCATCAGTGTATTTTCCACTGCGATGCAATAAACAGCAGATTCCAGATATTGGTGAAGCATTTCTGTCCCCCTTCCTATCAACGGACTCTTTAGCCAAACCTATATTCCAGTCAGGATGATCTCCCACCTCCACCTCCCAGGTGTGTTTCCCTGAGCTGAAACCCTCAGAGCCCAGAACAGTGCGATAATTTGTGTTTCTCTCTGGATTGTCAGGAAGCTGTTGCTCTGTGTCTCCACATCTCACACTGGTCAGATCACCAGACAGATAGAGACGAGGGTGTGCAGTGTTTGGGTCCAGAATGACAGGACTGAAGTGGACCTTGTCCTTTATCTTCTCCCAGACTCTGAAGGACAGGTTGCCCAGGTGTTTGGCCACATCTATCAGCGCTCCTGAGACCAGCTGTGGGTCTGACAGTGAGCACTGGACTCTGGCTCTGGTCTGAGTGGGTTTATAACTGCTGAGGAATGGCACGTTGTGTTTCTGCAGCTCTTCTTCAACAGCAGAGATACTGTCTGACAGAGAGGAGATCTGCTCCTCAATCCTCTTCATCTCTCTGCTGACAGTCTTCCTCTTCTGCTCCTCTTCCTCCCTCAGAGCTGCCAGGACTCCCCTTCCTCTTTCAGGAACTATATAAATAAATAACTGACAGCTGACATGACACCATCTTACCAGCAGATGGGGCCATCTGCTGGTAAGATGGTGGTTTAGAATTGTTCATATAAAAATTATTTACCAAGACAATTAATTTGTTAAGCAACCCAACTGTTTTTCATTACATGGCAATTTCTTTAAATGACAATGTACTCTCCAAAGACAGTGAAAAACTTTAAAGTCTTTATTTATACATATAAAAATGATAACCCACAAAAAGAAGTTTGAATGAATAACAAAAACATGTCAAGCACATAAAAGAACAAGAAATCTTTTCAACTGAACTGTACACAACGAGGTTGATGAAAAACATAAATATGAATTACACAATCATAAATAACTTTTAAATAAAAATAAAGAACCCATTTCTCCAGGTTCCACCATCAGGCCAGTTTCACCAGTCTCTCACTGGCCTCCCACAGTTTTTTTGCCACACCGGCGTCTCTTGCGAAAGGACGCAGAGTAGCTGGTCGGCAGTCGACGAAGTAACCCCCGCTGTGTCTGGCAGCTTCATCTGACACAGCACAGTAGATGACAGTCTGAGCTCCGATCTCACACGACACGAAAAACATCCACATGACCACCTTCATCAGCATTCGGAACAGGATGGAGTAGTGGCACGTCCAACCACTTTGGACAAAACCTGCAGCAGCATAAGGAGGCAGGGGTAAATATAAATAGTGTCAGGAATATATACGCTGTATGTTAGGAGTGGACAAACATTTTTTTTTAGATAAAATAACCAGATATGAATGTCTGTTTTTGGTTATTCCAGTGAATCAAATATTGAAAAGCACTGTATAATGTTCACACCAAACGCCTGTAAATAAATCCAATATTGTCATAAAGAAACCCTGCCCATTGAATTTTAATATTGACTGCCATGATCTAATACAAACACCATAAAGAGACACCTCAGTGTAAACAGTACAGAAAAATGTCTGTTTCACACTATATATAGCCCAGCCCTAATGATTTCATTTCAAATAAAAATACATTGCTTGTAGATCAATATATTTACAATAAATACAATATACAGAACTTGTCTAAAAATGTACAAAGCACACTGAAAACAAGAAGTAGGCTCGTAACTAATGATTACTGAGGACCTCTTCTATTCCTGTGATACACTTTAAACCTTCAGGACTAACTGCAGGAAGTGGAATTGAATTTTAATTTGAATTTTCTTTCAATAACATTTGACATTTGGGGAAGAAACTCTTACCAGGGTGCACAGCATAAGAGGTCACTCCTTTCCCTTCGGTGATGCGGGCCAGTTCCTGACTGAAGTAGATGTTGGCCAGCTTGCTGCGGCAGTAGGTGAAGAAGGGCAGCAGGTTGTAGTTGAGGTCCTGGAAGTCCAGTTTTTGGTATTTGTAGATCGAGCATGTGATGGTGACCACCCGGCTGGGGGCACACTCCTTCAGGCGTGGCAGTAGCAGATTGGTAAGGAGGAAGTGACCCAGGTGGTTGACACCGAAACACATGCTGAAGCCGTCGTCTGTCCAGTCGAGGATGCTGGGCATGCCTGCAGGAGCACCACAGGGTGAAGAAAAAGGTCAAAACAATGAGGTGGCAAAAGGACAAACATCTGGGTTTTATCTGATGTTGATGCTTTTACTGCAGATTTTTCTAAAAGGGAACACATCTTAATCCATTTGTTTTGGTTTCCTGCTATTATCACTAAACACTCTAACATCTGGCCAAATAAACTTCTGGGTTATCTATTGGAAGGGAAACATTTCCTCTTCTTTCTTTCTTTGGTGATCTTTTGGTCTCCATGTGGTTGACACCCTCACCTGCATTATTGATCAGGATGTCCAGCCTCTTCTCTCTCTGGAGGAAGCTCTTACAGAACTCCCTCACAGAGCGCAGGTTGGCCAGATCCAGCTCCATGGGAAGGACGTTGAGGCTGTGACTCTTGAACTTGATCTCCCTCACAGCCTTCTCAGCTTTGTCCATGTCTCTGCAAGCAATGATGACGCGGCCCCCTCTCATTGCCATGGCAACAGCTGTGTCTTTGCCAATGCCAGAGTTCCCACCTGCCAACAACAACAACAACAACAAATTATGTAAGTTCATGTGTTAGTGAGACTTGAAGAGGACAGCAGTAATACTGTCTGCAATAATCCAACTGTACTGTAATATCAGGCAACGGGCAAAGGTGTATGGAGCAAATGTCAGCTTTCAATGCACACTGATCTTTATACATTTACCTGTAATAAGAACTGTTTTGCCATCAAGTCTTTTCAGGTCGGTGCAATACCTCCTTTTTTTCATCCATTTCAAAATGAAAAAAGAAACTAAAGACGCGATGATTGTATAAAGAAAATACATGTTTCTACTATTGCTACCGTGAGAGCTGATCTCTTTTAACACAAGCAGCTGCTGATGCTGCTGTCTATGTGAGCCTGGAGCTAACGTCAGCTAGCTTGTTAGCTTGCTATTTAACTAAACAACTAAGTCTAAAACGTCATTTTTTCCCTACTATTCCTCCATTCTGGTTCTTGTCGCGGTTAACGTGGCGGAGATGATCCAGGGCGAATTAAACACAACAGAAGAGGGTTGTTTTGTTCATTTGACAATCCTCTCCAATTCATTCTCAATCACTTCACAGGTAGAGCGAGTCACATGATGTGCACATGCGCCAAATGCTCAAATACCGCAACGTCTCGCGAGAACAACATTATAAACATGACAGTGTGGGCATTGTGAAACAGATATCTTGTGAGTTACGGTTCTTTAATTTTTAAAAAATCTGTTAATTAATAACTTTAAAACTGCCATCGGAGTATCGCCTAGTTAGCTATAACCTATGTATGTTTCCGGTTTACCTCTGACACACTGCGCGACTCAGTGCCACAGTTTGGTTGTTGTGTTATTTTGTTCTGTAAGATAAACATGAGAGCACACTTGAGAGAAACCATTTTCCTCTGTGGAATCTTTCTTATTTGCTCATGTCAAACAGCTGGTAAGTATAACTTTCAGAAGTATTTTAGGGACTTATATGAATTTATATTTATATTTTTGCACGAAGTAAACTTTCTGAATCCTTATAACTTGTCTGGAATATGTATTGTTGCATACAGCAAACCAAATGAAGCCATTTGTTATGCAGGTTAAACTCTAATAGACGTCAGTGCAAATATTTGAAATGTTTTTCTGTTTTTTTTTAAGCTCAAACATGCAGGGGGAAGTGTGGAGACATATTGGAGGAATGCTCCTGCCATACAACCTGTGTCTCTTTGCTGAACTGCTGTTCAGACTACAACCAGTCCTGTTTCCAGGTGATGCCTCACTCCAGCTCCATGCTGGGTGGGAGAGCTCTCAGGATCCTCAGTTTGGTTCTTCATCCTGGGGGCCGCTTTCTCTGCAGGTTTGTGTTTATGAGCATGTGGCCTTTGAAGCACATCATGATGTAAATCTTGCATACACTCATTGTGGGATTATTTCCATTACACGTCAAAAACATAAACAGTATATGCAATTCTTGAATTTCCCTCAGGATAAATAAAGTATCTATCTGTCAATTCACATGTTGTGCTTTTCCTGTAGATCTTCATTTGGGATAGCCCAAATTTGCTATACATGTACTTAAGTACTGATAACATTTGTGTCCAAATTCTAATCTTTTTTGTTTTTTCATCTTCAGAAAAGGCAACAGTAATCTTAAGGTTCAAAAAAAGTTTTGCGTACTGAAAAGATGACAGAAGTTTTGTAATATCTGGAATATTACATTTTTTTCCAAATCATCAAAATCACGCTTAAAGCAAAAAGAGGTTTAATCTCTTGCAGAACATTTTCAAACACTTTGTAACACGAAACAAACACTCTTAGATATGAAGCACAAAACATGTCAATAGACTCTCTTTCAGTAAGGAAGTGTTCAAATGGTGCCTGACATGATATAATGCTGCTAATGGATGCTCTATGTCTTAATACTTTTCCTGTATTTAAAGCAAATGGAAACATGCTGTCTATATAAAGAAAAGGTTGTTGCTGCCTTTGAAATTACATAATGCATTCTCTGTAGTTGGAGTATCAATATCATTTCAATATGTACTTTAAATCTTAATTTCCATTGTCTCAGGATATGTTTCAGTGATCAACTCTCCTTTAAAGCTGCGATCTTCAACCTGTGTCAGACTTATTCCCAGATTGCTCTTAAATACAGTGTTGCATTAAAGAACCTAAAATTGTTATTCTACTGACCATATGTGTGTGAGTGCAGTTACAGAAGAAAAATCGTATTAAGAACAAAGTCGTAATGTTGTGTAGCTAGCCAAAAAACAAAAATCATGTTCGTCTGTTTCTGTTGCAGGTTCAAAGGAGAGATTGAACGAGAAGGATTTATTGATGCTGAGGGCCAAGCCTACTGCGTCTCTCCTTTATTGTATGAGACGGGTTGGATACCATTTGCTGTCTCAACAGATGGGATACATTTTGACAGATCTGGAGAGTACTTGTCAGGTATGTTGCTGAAATATAAGAATATGTTTGTACTGCACTGATTTATGACCAGTGATCCAAAATAATTTTAATTAAATTTAAAGAATACCTTTTGTGACTTTGGCATTTCAGTTATAGCTTTTAGGATGCTGCTTTTAAAGGACCAGTGTGTAGGATTTACTCGTATCTAGCGATCAAGTTTCAGATTGCAACTAACTAGCTGCACTGGTGTCTGTATTTGACGGCCTGGGAATGAGAACGGGCTGTGAAGTGCGTAGGAGAAACTACGAAAGGCCCCATGTACAGCCTGTGTTTGGTTTTCAGTTTTGTCAGTTATTTTCTCTTTTTTTACTTTTGATCAGCAAAACTCTGGTTACACCTTACTGGTTACCTTAATATTTTCTGTTTTTCACTGCGTTAGTTCACCCCAGTAAAGCGGACCATGCTTTCAAAGTCACCCTGGTGAATGGAACACAGTGGCAGTATTACGGCACACCTAATGTGGCAGGACAACTTACGATGACATGGAACAGCTCTTTGATTGGAGCAGAGAAGGTCAACATAGAGCTGTGGGGTTACACAGAGTTTAGCGGGAGGATAGAGGCACAGAACAGATCTGCTCTGCAGGCCAAGCTGAGCTATCTGTACTCTCTCGGTAGGAATCTGTCCAACACTGGTGCCTTCAGCTTCATCCCAGAGCCCTCACATAACTACTCTGGCTGGGAGCTGGGGAATATCCGCATCACTGCCAGTTCTGAGTCAGATGGAGCAAGGTATCCATAATACATATACATAAAGCATTGTAGAAATATAACGTGGAAAGAAAACTTTTTTCCGGACATATTTGGCTGATAGCAGGAAAAACTACAGACTTATTGTAAGGCTGCTAAATTACAGTTACAGGCACACTCCAAAAAGCGCACATAAAATTACAGGAACAGTGTTTGCAGTTTCAGGGATTGCAGAACCAGTAGGGCCAGTAGGGCTGGAGTCCTACCTACTTTTTAACATCAAACATGTAGAAATAAATAAATAAAATTCAGCTTTAAGTATACTATCTATGTTAGCCACATATACCATATTCTGTGACCACAGCTTATTAGAAAGCAATACATTCTGCTATCCATCTATCTGTATGTGGAGTTTGACTGTCACATTGATTCCAGAGTTCAGTATTGACAGTATCGGTCACAGGCAGCTGAAACAATTCAGCGAATAAACATTTTGATGATTGACATAAAATAAATTGACATTTTTTTTTTTATATTTGATTAATAGCAAGCAGACAGTGAAGACATGTTGCTTTTCACTGTGTTACATTTATGTACATTTAGGTTTTTTGGCTTTGTTTTTTTTTACTGTTCATCGAACAAAAACAAATAAAATCGGGTTCTGGGAAATTTAGGTAAAATAGTAATATTTTTTGATTGAACAAAATATCACATACTTAATTTAAGCCCTAGCTTGAACTTGGAAGTTTATATTTCAGGAAAAATCTCTGTTTCAAAATAACTGCGAGTGACTGTGATTGTTTACACACAGGGATGTACAGGCGCTGTGGAGCGGAGGTCATGTCTTAGCCTGGCACCTGGAGCGGGCTTTCAGAGATGACTCTGCTGTCTGGGCTGAGAAAAAGTGTCAGCAGTGGGACGAACTGGAGAAGAAGCTGCCTAAGTTCCTGGATGAGCTCATTAACTGTCCATGCACTCTGGCACAGGCCCGAGCAGACACCGGCAGGTTTCATGTGAGTGCTCTTCAATGGATATGGTATTATTCATATTTTTTTGTTTTTGAGTTGAATAAGTAGTCATATTAGTAGCTATAGTAGCAGTAATTTCAGTATCAATATTACTATAATTAGTGTATGTAATGAGAGAAAAATGTTTTTCCTTAGAGAAAGTATAGCACTGTCTGAACAAGTAATTGGTTGATGTTTGAATGTTTAAAGTAAGATGTCAACCTCTGGCTTTATCTGAATTTAATATTTGATTTAATAGAGATGTACTCTAGCAGTTCAATAAATATCCTGATGATGGTAGAGAAACATCTGGGGTGGTAACATTTGCAAATGGTGAGAGTGACCTTCTCTCCATAAAATGAGACAATAGCAATTACGCGAGCCCTTTGCTGGAGCAAAAATATGGAAGCAGTATAAGGATGCAAGAAAATTCTCTAGACTGTTTATTTAAAGCCATATTATAATAAAATATATAAGTATAATATTAGACCAAAAGTTGTATTGTGAAGCTTATGCATTGCATATGCATTTCTGTTAAAGATTGTGTTAAATTTTTGGGTCTGATAACATTTAAAACTCCTCCCCCAAAGCAGTCCTTGGATAACAAACAAGGATGTTGAAATATACTAATAACCAGATAATTCAGAGCGAGAATGATGTTTACAAGGTCACATTCGGATGGGAAATGTTGCAAGTAAATCCCAAAATGACACATAATTATACTAAATAATACACATTGTGACCAGGGTTTCAGGATGTAAACAAAAGCATTGCAGTGACTCAGCTGCACTTTACAAATGATTGGAGTTCTGTCTAAGTCAACAGGATTGCCACTGATCAACAAGAATGTACGTGTTTTTTTTTCTTTTATTGAGACTGATTTTATTCCCTGTGTTATTTCAGACTGACTATAGTTGTGACATCGAGAAGGGCAGTGTGTGCACTTATCACCCAGGTAGTGTCCACTGCGTCAGAGCAATTCAGGCCAGGTAGGAGTGACACGGGGACAGAAGTTTTTACCTTCTTAAAGGTAAAAATAGAAGCATTTTGTCCCTTTCAGACTTGACTTTATTTTCATATTTCCAGTCCTACTCATGGTTCAGGGCAGCAGTGCTGCTATGACAGCACAGGCACTCTGGTGCTGACGGGAGACTCGATCAGTGGCAGCACCCCAGAGAGGGCTCACGACTGGGGCTCACCTCCATACATGGAGCCGCCACGGGTGCCTGGATACTCCCACTGGCTTTACGATGTCATTAGTTTCTACTATTGCTGCCTGTGGTCAAACCACTGCCACATCTACTTCAGCCATCGCCCTTCTAGTGAGTGTCGCAACTACCGGCCCCCAAGAGCTGGTGAGACCATTCATACTGCTTATAACTAATAATGAAGCACAGAGACAGACAGATTTCATGCTTATTAGTTGCTCAGGTATTTTTAGTCAACATTAACATCTGAAAATGAAACAAATGGAAAGTTGTTCCACTTATATGGAAGAAGGTATGAAATTGTGTTATTATTTTATGCATGTGCAGTGCCTATTTATAGTTGATTGTAGAGTCTAGAGTGTGTGTTTATGTATGTATTTGTTAATCTATATTTAAGTGCCTCTACTCGACTCTGCAAATGGACATTAGAATAGCAGGTAATAACCAGCTCGGTTTGCAAGGGAGATAAATGAATTACAGACTTGGCTGAGACTTAAGATGTGGAAATATATTAGATCATACAGTTGACTGCGTGCTCTTCAGAGGCTGTAAACACGTATTAGAGAACCAGTGTTTAGCTGAATGAGAGATCCATAGCTTGCTGTTCGAAATAAAAATGTCTCTGCCAAAATGTGTATATAGGTGTTGTCCTTGGGGATCCGCATTTCATAACGTTCAACGGCCTCAACTACACTTTCAATGGCAAAGGAGAGTTCTACCTTGTGTCCTCGCCAGACAAAGAGCTGAGTGTTCAGGCCAGAACAGAACAGGTGAAACTTAAGAACGGTGAGTCCACATTTGATGTGAAAGCCCTGTCTGTGTCCCCTCTTTCATCCCTATGCTACTACTGGGTCTCTCACTTTGTTTGGATAAAACTTATTTCTGGATTTCTTCTGAGAGACCTGTTTTATGGTTCGATTTGTGTTTTTCTTTCTTTTTTTTAAAATTTGTTATCAGCCACAAGATTGATTCCCTGCCTCAAGAGTTTGCTCAGACATATTGACTTTGGTATTTTTGCTGAATTATTTGTTTGTCTTTTTTAGCTTGCATTCCTCTCTCAAGCAGTGTTTAAGGCTTCCTCTTATCTTTTACACAGTTCTGAGAACGAAGTGATGTCAGGTCAGGTCCTTTTGTGAGTGAAACATGTTGGCGTTGTAAAATTACAGCCTATTTCCTGACTTCCCTCTTGTTTTCGCTCAGTATCTCTGGGGGTCAGATGTGGTGAAGAAGAACAGATGTTAGCCTCATTGTTTTGATTTTCACTACAGCCATGGGCCAAGTGACTGTAGATGGCCAGATGTCATTAATATTCTCCTCATTAGATCAGTGAAGCCTGAAACATCTGGAGTATTTGATATTACCGAGACTTCAGCAGCAGTGAAACCATTCCTGACTACAGAGTGCCAACTACATAGTGCATCTATAACAATCTGATGTGTATATTGACCACCAAGGTACCTTGGCCAAAGCCACATGGCTGTCATCAGTGGCGATGAAGGAGAATGCCTCTGATGTCATCGAGGTACGTCTAGCAGAGGGCCACCTTCAGGTGCTAAGGAACCAGAAGGTGCTTCCTTTCACTGAGCAAAGATCGATGGACCTACACGGTGAGATTATGTAGACACTCTTGACCAGCTGCATACTAGATATTGTTAACTTTGGCAGAATAAGATGGCTGTTTTGACAATTTATCATGAAATATTGTAATCTGACATAGTAACACCACATCACATCCTCTATACTTTTCTTTTTTATGTTAGGTAAAGGTTGGGGAGGAAAAGCTTTTACTTTGTTATTTATCCAGTTTTGATTCATAATTTTTTGTGAGCCTGAACTGTATTTACATGCCCTGTAGTGCCCGATTTCTCTCTTATACCATTGTGTATTGTAAAAGTTGTTTTTAAGATTTTTACCATGTTTTATTTTGTATTAAAAATACAAACACAATCTCTCTTTTGTAGGAGTATTTGTGTTCTGTCCCAGTCCTCACAATGTGACCGTAAGCTTCTGCTCTGGTGCCAGTGTGGAGGTTCGTGTGCATGAGGGAACAATGGCAGTGACCGTGCTACTTCCAACAGAGTTCAACCATAGTCAGGGTCTCCTCAGCTGGATGAACTCATCAGATGCCCTGTTGACCCAAGTTGGCGAGGTCATCTCTTCAGCCGACGCCACGCCAGAGGAAATCTTTACCTTTGGAGCCAGCTGTGAGTGTGAACTGACTTGTGTTTGTGAAACAAGCAAACATCTATCAAACCCTGATCAATGCTGAAATAATCAGTTCTCACTTTAAAGTAGTGCAAAAATTGAAGTCTGTTGGATTTTGTTTAGAGAGCTATGTTGCATGTTAAGAAAGGTGAGAGCAGATTATGTAATTTGCTAATAATAACCCATAATTGAACCATATTGGGCTAAAACTCTGAAATGACAGTCAAGTCATTTTTGACAAAGAGTGCACAGGAAGAACACAAGGCACATGTTTAGAGTTAGCGCAGCTTTAATAGATTACAGCGAGATATCAGGGGGAGACCACATCTCTGGAACACAGTTGGGGCCAGACCACATACGTACATGATAATCACATCTCAGCTGTAATTACAGTATATATCGCTCAAAACCGGTGAGCTTTTCATGGGCTTGACCTTTTGACTGAAATTTTGCCTCAGTGTAAGTGCAGCAGAAACCCAGTTTAAACTTATGGGAACAAATAGATTTATTTGTGCAAATACAGTTACACTTTTGTATGCATCAAATTCTGCACCAGAAGAAAACCACGGCAGCATGTTGTGTGTGTCCTGCACTGACCTCTTAGAGTTATGTTCTAATCTCCAAATTATAGCGTGTCTTCTATTTTCTTATTTTTAATTCCATGTTTTAGTAAAAAGGTAGCTTGAGCCAAGCAGTCTGATGGGTCAAACGTGCTGCTCTGGCAATAACTCCTCCTAATTACCCATTCTGATACATACATTTAACGTTTTCCTACATGTGCTTTGCTTGTACTATTGGGTAGAACTTGGAAGACTTAATGCAGTCACTCACTATCACACATGTGACAACCAACCCCAAAGAAGGTGACAAGCTTCCCCAACTGGTGTTATTTTCTAGCGACTAAGCCACCAAGTACATGTTGTAGCCCACTGACATTCTTTTTAGTTGGCTTTAAGACCACCACCAGCACATCTAAACTGATGTTTTGATCTTTTTTATTTTTGTCCACAGGGAACATTTCAAAGAACTCTTCCCTTTTCACATACGACTCGAAGTACCTTTTGGATGCCTACTATGTCCCACCAAGCCACGATCCTGCTTTTGTTCCTGTTTTTTCTTTGCCTGAGGGACCTGATGACCCTCTGGTGGCAGACATGTTGAAGATGTGCTTTGGAGAAGGAGCAAGGTTCTGTAAATATGATACACTGACCACTCGGAGCCTCACAGTGGGAAACGCAACACTCAGGGCCTACCAGAGTTATCAGGCTCAAATGGTAGCACTGGAGCCAGGTACCACATGAAACAAGATTGATCTCTGTCCATTCATTCATTGTCTTTTATACTCATAAGCAAAAACATGGTGACATATGTATTATGTTTGCGTTAATGCCAGAGGGAAATTGTTTCATACATGTTTATTACTGCTTATTTTATATTCAAATAAATAATGTCTAGTTAGGAATTCATCCATCCTGCACAGTAATATAATTAGAAAGATTAGTGAAGAGAAAGCATTGGTTTTGAAAGTCATCTATGTTTATACATCTGCCTGTTTTACAACATTTGACTGTGGCTAGTTAAGGCTAGTCATGATCATAAAACACAATGGTTTTAATATTAATTTACTTACTGTTTCTTTAGTGGTGTCTTGTGGCTGGCTTTCCACACCCAGGAATGGGAAGAAGAACGGTACATGTTACCTAGAAGGGAGCACTCTGAGCTTCACCTGCAATGAAGGCTACATACTGTATGGTTCAACAGAACGCATTTGTCTGAATGATAGGACCTGGACCGGAAAGCAACCCTACTGCATAACAGGTTGGTTCTTTTTATGAAACAAAACCAACAACTGGTTGTGTTGAGTAAAATAAACTGTAATGTGTGTGTGTGTGAGAAAAGCTGATTTGAACTTCAGAGTCTTGGGAGTCAGCTACAGGATTGCATTCATGAGCTGAGTACCTATTAACAGTATTAACAAATATCTAACATTACAAATTCCTAAACACAAACAGGAAAAACAGTCCCCTCTGGCAGCAGCATTACCACATGACAATGATGATATCAAAAATAATGATAATTATTATTTATCTCAGGCATGTTACTGTCTGCAAGTTGAGTTTCATACTACACTGCATAGAAAACCAATGGCTGCACAGAGGATGAAAAGTCTAACGTGTAATAACCATTACAAGAATAATATAATTTAAATTGGTTCAAAACATGTTTAACCATTCGTTTTTCATTGGCTGTTTCTATCATCCTTATCAGTGCATGATTAGTATTTGTTATTCTTTTACTTTAATTAATTGTGAAACAGCTTGCAAATATTGCTTTAGAGAGGCACTACATAAATAAAATCACATAGTTACAAACTAACTCCTCACATGTTTTATATTCACTGTGATTGGCAGCGTCCTCTAATGAAAACTTAGAGAAACTTTGGGAATCTTCTTCTCATCCATTCTCTTTGAAAGCAAAGATTCAATAGACTCAGCTCTCCGTTGCTCATAAGGACCATTAGCTACAAAGCTATAAATGTCTGATCCTGGATTGTCTTGGCTCTCTGTTTGTAAATCGGAAACACATGGGTCTCTCTAATGGTTTCATTCATCATCCCAACCATGACCTCTTAAAAGTGTTGCTGTAGTCGTCAGCTGTCTCCATCAGGTGGCAGTATTTCCCACTAAATTCCTAGTGTCAGGTCAATGCCTCCTTTTGTACTATTGTGTAAAGCAGGCCAGGTTTTAGAAAACCTTGAAAGATAACTGGGAACAACACAGTAGGTATTCATTCACACTGCAGTGACAGCAAGGTTGGGGGAAATTAGATATTTTATCATCACTTGGAGGAGAATAAAAGCAAAGGTTTCAAGAATTCCAAGGGTTTTTGCTACATCAACCTATTGGCTAAGTGAAGTGAGTGGAAGCAGAGAAACAAAGCCACTTAACTTGTGATCACCTCCACTTTCATTCCTGCATGGCTTCACCCCAGTCGCCCATCCTTTCCTTGTTAGAGCTGCAAACAGAGACTTCCTCTTGATAGTAATCAGACGACTTCATATGTGAGATTTGGATGCAACTGGCTCGGTGACAGCTGGACACAATTGACACTGCGTCCTTCATTAGGCAAACATATTAGTTTCATAGCTTGGTTATGCAGTGCGGAACTGTTTAGAATTGTTTCTTATTAAGGTTCATTTGTTATACCATACCACCACTAATCGCTGCAGCAACCAATCAGGCAGACCTTTTGGAAAATATCTGTCAGTCTGTGAATGTGCAAGTGCGACTCCATGTTATATTAATTCACAGTCTCCACATCTGACTCAATGTGTTACATTAACAAACATAATGCACATTACTTGGTCAATATTTTGCAGCTCTTTCATCGTAAAATACACATATATTGTACATATTTTAAAATGTTATAATACTTTTATTGTCAATTTATCTATTTTAATTTTCTTTTACCATGTTAATTGTGATGCACCAAAATAGTACGGCAAATTCCTTTTTGTGTTAAAACCTACTTGGCACTGAACCTGATTCTGATTCTAGGTGTGTCTGTAGATAAATATAGTCTCACTGACACATACACACACACACACACATTCACGTGCATATATAGATGAACAAAATCTTACGGTGTGAAGTAGAGCTTCACTTGCACACATACATGTTGTACATACACACACACATACACAAAGCGGGGTCTTTTTAGCTATGTGAAAATGATCACACTTCAACACTCTCATTACACAAATCAGAGCTAACAACTGACAACATGACCTGAGGTGCTCAATGGCAGGTGTTGCGTGAACTGTTACCTACAGCATTTCAAATGTGACCTCTAGCCATGTTGTTTACATGGCTGACACTAAATACAGACTGAGCAGGAACCGCTCTGACGGATCTCTCCTCCTCCCCTTTATATGAATCATTGCAGAATGATGTGTAGGCTGAACTGCCAGAGAATTGCAGTCACAGTTAAGATGAAAACAGTGTGCAAACAACAAATGCCACTGCATCCAGTTTGACTTCTTTTGAGTCACTTTGAGGAGCCGCTGTTGAAATGCCGCCTGTCACCAGAAGTGACACTAAGTCCCTTCCATCAAAAGTGAATCTCTGTTTGAATGTCTCCCATCACTAAAAGCCTCACCCATTTCAGGTGGATTATAACCTGCTGCCGTACTTCAATGTGCTTTTTAACCGCTTTAGACTTTAGACAGGGGTGTGGTGTATTGTGATGATCAATGTTAATATCTTTGGCTGGAAAGATGGGAGTGTTGGAGAGGTGAGGGTGGGGTTTGGATAGAAAGCAATTGGAGGTTTTTCGGTCTCAGCACAAACAGGGCCATGGGTCACTTGAGAAGTATAAGGTTATAGAGTTTTCTTGCTTGGCTGCGCCTTGTCACGTTCTTCTGAAAAACAATAGCCCTGGTTGAGTGTCAGATGCATACCAATAACAGGCTCACCCCACCTTGATGGCATTATAATATTAATAGAGTTTCTTGCGCAGAGGAGAAGAAAGTGATTAAAGGAAAGGTGACAGCTGCCAGAGATGGATAGAGCGATTTTCACAGGAAAAAGTGACGTGGGTTGCAAGACAAAGCCTCACTCAATTTTCTGCCTGTGGCTCTCTTCTCAGATTCCCCTGAGATAGTGGTCGAGAGCCAGGAGGGAAAAAGAAGTTGTTGGTAAATGCAGGTTGCGTAAAGGAAGGAGTTATTGAAATGCCAACCACATGCTGCTTGAGACTTTTAAACTAGTTACTTTGCTCACACTCCACTGTCAGCTATTTCTGTCAGTGCACAAAAGTCTGGGAAGGTTCACTAAACAAGCTTTCTCACCTTTCTGTCGTTACCACTTTCTGTCGCTTTCCTAACTTCTTAATTCAGTCTTTCATTACCTTGCGTCTCATACTGACGTTATGGAAGTCCATCTGAAACTATTTCTGTGCTGTGGTGATGTCTTAATGTCTCTGAATGATAAGTCTTGATTTTTTTTAAGTTTTCATTGTGTTGTGTTGGGATCTTCATTTCAGATCCCCAAATCTCATCTATTGTTTTATGGCATTTTGTTTGCTTTGGAGTAAAAATCTGGAAGAGAAGGCTGTTTTTGCTCCGTATGAAGCTATGTTTATGATAATTAAAAAAAATACAATTAAAATTTAAATTCTTCTGACAGATTTATCCTTTTCATCATAGTTGAAGAGAAAAAATGCATGTAACAACATCCCTTTTCTAAAAGGACAAAGGGTTTTATTTGAAGGTTTGAGTGGATATATGTAGCTGCAATGTCCACTGAATGCAGCTGCCTTGTGTTCTGTCTGTGCTGTGACAGCTCACTGCTCATGCATGACGGGGTGGGATTGTCTTTTAGGGATATCACTTTGAAAGTTTGAAAAAAGTTTGAAAAAATCAGCAAAAGTACACAAAGTCTAGTGAGAAACATACTGCTTGAACATATGCTGCTTCTGAAACCTAATGATCATCAGACAGTTGACTAAGTCATCTTCGAGTCATTTCCAACATTATGGTTTAATAAGAAACAGCACCAAAACCATGACAGACAGTGGCTACTAATTATCTCAACAATGATCATTTTCTTACAGTGACTCTCTCTATGATATAAAGCAGTGATTCCCAACCAGCGATATGTGCACCCCAAGGGTTACTTGCAGTTAACAGAGGTATCTCAGCTGATTTGAAAAATTCAAAATTAGGATTTGGTAAAAACATAAATCGACAGGTCTGTGTTTAGAAGGAAAATAATCACATGAGTAGGATTGCACACTGGTGGTTTAGTATAATAATACCACAATAACTAATACATTAACAGCTAGGACAGGCCCACTGGACAGGACAGTGCCCTCCATGAGTCTGTAACACCTGAACGCCACGCAAGCATGTGTGGAAGCAAGTTGGCAAGCAATTTTGCATAAACTTCAGCGATTCCATGATGCTTGTATCTTTTTATGAAAAATATCTGTTATACTGTTACCCAGTATAAAATCATTTAAACATTTATAACATTCAAGGTGGTGTCAATAAATGAGTACTTGAGCTCATCTGATAGAGCTGTGGTGGTAATAAAAATGTTGGGAACCACTGATACACAGCATTGATGCACAGAGTACCGTTAATTAACTAGACTTACTTACACGAGGGATGGAACTGGAAAATTAAGTGTTTAATTAAAAATGTACTTTTTGACTTGTTTAATGGAGACAAATTAAGTTATTAAAATGCTTAATTTGATTTAAAAAAATGATGAAATACAGTATACATATACTTACAGAGACACATGCACCTGGCCTCAGAGTCTCAGACCACAAGAAAGGATAGCTGTTGAAGCTGAGTCTAATTCCTTTGGACACCTTCATCTTCCGGAGCTGCAGCTGCTGCTGTGTGTCGACTTTATGCTCATAAACTCCTCCAAGGGTGTCTAGGTGTGAAACTTTGACAATGGATTGGAGTTGTTTTAGTTGGCTACTGCTTGGCTTTGTTTTTTGAGTGTGTTTACGTAACCGGGTGTTGGTTCAGTTTGTACATGGAACATTTGATGTCTGAAGTTTGCTTCAAATTCCACGAATACTTCCACCCATCACATTAAGTCAGACAGGGTGAGATACACATATCAGATGTTGACAGTAGCTTGGTACAGACATACACACTGTTACCAGGGAGAAAAAAATCAACAGAATTATTTTAAGATGATATCAGCTCTGTCAAAAACTCATCTCTATCTTAAGAAATGCTTTATGTGATAAGAGTGTTGCTCAGGGGTGCGTGGATGGGTTATAAAAACAGTCTTGGATTTCTGATTGGTATCGTCTGTTTGTAATTTCTTTAAGAGATAAATGCTGGAAAAGGGACTGAATGACAATAAGCTCAGAAATGTTTGGTTTTAATTTTTTGCAAATTGTAGGAATTATAGGAGTTATCTTTTTGCATCCACTACAGATGGTACGGACGGGTGATATACACTACAAAGAAAACACCTTTTCTGTTTTCTTTCTCCTTCGACTTGTTCAGTCCAACCCTATGATGTCTGTCATGTGTTAATCCCCTCTCTGGAAATGTATTGGTCCAAACTGAGTGCTATTGCTCCCTGGAGCTTTACTATTTGATCAATGCAGGAGGGGGTTCAGTGGAGTAATGATATAGCTTTAGGGTTTTGCCAGCAGAAAAAACGTAAATGTTAACACTGATTGACTGCCAGTCCTCCACATGCTCCCTGTACAATTATCCTCTGGGCAGCTTGTCGCGCTGATGCCGAAAGCTTCAGTGTGCAGCAGTTTGGCGCCAGTGCTCCCTCATCCAAGGCCTGGCCATGTGTAGCGAAACTGATTGGTTTAGAAACTTCAGGGAATATTTGTACATGTGGGTGTGTATTTCACTGTACTTTTTCATGCTTGTGTGTGTTTGATGTTCCGAGGCTGATGACATTTTAAAGGACCAGCACCTGCGGTGCCTACCTGACAAACATCTACCATATTTGACATATGTTTGTGCATTCATGCGTTTGAGGATGACGGTACTTTAGTAATTATCTTCCTCAAAATATCTGCAGACTTGCTGCCTTAAAAAATATCTCCTGGCTCGGTATTCTATATGAATAGTCAAATAGATTGGAGAGCGGTTCACTGAACTTGCCAAGACCCAGAGGGAAGTTTCAGATGTTCTAATTTGATCACAATATTACCTAAACAAGTACGAACAATGTGAAGGCAACTGCTGGGAAAATTCAGCAAATGGAGGCTGTATCAGTCCATCCAGCATTGTGCTCATTGTGTGTTTGAAGCCAATGTTTCCTTTTTGTTTTCTTTGATCCCCTAACTGATTCATGTATTTGCTGATATGCGGGCAGAACACAGTGGGGTTTTTGTTGGATGGCTACACTTGACCTGCTTGTAAAATTCACGTCAGGATGAAAACTAGAACTCATATTTTTAAAATTCATATTAATGTAAAATGGACTCAGGCAAGTGACAGTTCCACATGCACTAGTGTTATGAAAGCTAACCTGTGCTAAAATATAAGCTGCTAAATCAGACAAAATTTAACAATTACATTTGGTCAAGCGGTACATTTATATTTAGATTTACTGTAACCAGTGGTTACAGCTCTTCTTTTTGTTAGCTGTCATAGGCCGACTCTACACTATGGCTACCATGTTCACAGAAAACTCAGTTGGTCTAGCAAGTTTTGGGTTCCTTAATCCTTTATTTAGCCAGATAAAGCAGTGGATTTCAGCCACACCCAACTACATGCTCAAACTGTTACACCTATCCTTACCTGCGAGCACAGTCCTCTGCTGTTACTGAGCAGCTTCACAGGATGCAACTGTAACTGTTGATTGATCTTTCCTCTCTGGTTTTCCTTCAACCTCTTACTTCTACCATCAGTGCTTCCCTGGTTGCCTTTTGACTTTGTATTGATCCAGATATTAAACCTGTGGAGGAAGGATGGATTGTTTAGAGGGATCAATGGCTGATAGCAGTGACTAATTCTGTGTTGGTATTATTTCCACAGATAATAACGTGGGGTTTGTACTTGGCGCTGTTGGTTCCCTCTCAGCCCTGGTCACAGTGGGAGTAATGATCAAACTGCACGACAGGAAACAAGACAGGTGGGTTCACAGATGATTCACTTCACAGAAAAATCAATTCTTCTATTCCACTGATGCTACAGGATGCTATATAATAAACAAGAATTATAAACAAAACAAATATTAAATCAGTTTTAGGACTTGCAATGCACTCTTCAGCAGTTTTAACTTGTCTTTTACACTTGATTGCTGCTGCAGATTGAATTGAAAAAGTTACAAGTTACATTCATAACAGAGAATATATACTGTATATTATTTCACCACCTACAAATACAAATTTTGTTTTACTTCGCTGTAGCACATCGAGCTACAGACGGGGTTCCCTCAGCACACAAGCAACCACACTCCGTCGTTGAACACACCACTTTTATTCAGAGTACTGCTCACACGACACACAATGACGAGCTCAATCGCCTCTGGCTTTCAGTGGCACTCCTGGTAGCATCTGTGTCTGGCCCAGCACACTACTGCAAAGATAAGGGTAGAGTCATTAGGTAATCAAGGGCAGGTGAGGTAATCAACTCACCTGGTGCCGCTCTCCTAAGCCTTCCCCACACCTCTCCCTCCTGCAGCTGAGCGCAAACCACGCCCACCTCCACTGGCCTCTTTTATGCGATTGAATTGATTGAATTTTATGCGATTGAATTCCAAGTTGTTTGATGTATGTATTACCCAACATACTGGTAATACAAAAATGGCCGATACAGTTTCAGGAGGTATTATAACAGCAGATATTTTACATCTGCATCTCATTGTAGGATTAGTTGAAGTTAAAGATTTAAAGATTTAAGTCGGAGTTATTAGTGTCACCTGTAGTTACCAAGGTAAAAACAAATGTGGTTTAATAATACAGCTCCCAGAATCTTGGGGGAAGCAAACTCTCCTTGAGCAGCTACTTTGTCAAAAATACAACAGAGAATCAACTGGTGGATCTGATTACAGTGCAGTCGCCAGCAGCTCTTCATCTAGCAGCTCATTGTGGCCAAAAATGACCCTGTGTTTTGCGAGTTGAGGGCTTTTGATGTAAACCTACCGCTGCAACAGATATTGTTTACAGCAGCAGCACAACTAGAAATATAGTTACTTACTGTCTAGACAGGTGTGATTTTTCTGCATGAATATCTTATAATAATAATAATAATAATAAATTATTTATCTATATAGCACATTTCATACATAAAATGCAACTAGAAGTGCTTCACAAAATAACTAATCAAAGGTCACTAAAACCGAATCCAGCCTCTGGCTTTCTCTCTCTCTAGGTACAAACTACTAATGAAAGGTCTGGTCAGACAAACACTGACTTATGACACAAATAATGACTTGTTTTTGATCGGTAGGCCTCCAGCCACAGCCAGCCATATATACATAGATATATATATATATATATATATATATATATATATATATATATATATCTCTATATATAGAGAGAGAGAGAGAGAGAGAGAGAGAGAGAGAGAGAGATCTCTATATATAGAGAGAGAGAGAGAGAGAGAGAGAGAGAGAGAGAGAGAGAGAGAGAGAGAGAGAGAGAGAGAGAGAGAGAGAGAGAGAGAGAGAAAATAAAGATTATTATGTTGGAAATAGGAGCTACAACCGGTATATGGCTAGAGGTATTATTCCCCTCCCATTTCCTCCCAATAGTCAAAGCGTTTTTTACTGCGCCAACAAAGACACAAAAACACAAAAGCAATGAATCACACCTGTCTGTTTGATATCCAACACGTCCCAGCCTCTTAAACGTTGCTCATAAAAGTTCTTTCCGATCTGATCAAACCAAATATACCCATATACCCTGTGGGATCATACTTATGACTACAGTCCAGAGAAACGAGAGGCTAACAACAGTGCTAGCTCCTGGGCGTATACAAGCAAATTAAAGGCTTGTTTTATGGGCCCATAGACTTCATTTGGGCTTTTCCCCACCATAACTCTGGCAGGGGAAGAAAAAAGAAGGATGTCAGGAGTCAAGAGCCACCTCCTGCTCCCAGCAACACTTGAGGGAGGCAGGCGATGAAACCGCTATGTTTTTCAAGTCATGAGGGCAAGGAGCGAGCACACCTGCCCTCTCTCGAAGCCTTGATCATGGGAGGCCAGGTGTAAAAAGAGACGAAGAGTGTCAAAAGGTCTGCAGATGTGAGTGAGGTGATCTCTCACACTCACACACACACACACACACACACACACACACACACACACACACACACACACACACACACACACACACACACACACACACAAACATGCTGGTACACATGCTAATATAGGAGACTGGGACACCACGAAACTTATACTGTGCATACAGTAGCCTAAATACGTAAATAGAAATATCTTATACATTCCTTTAGTGTGAGTGGTCACACTTACATGCATGAACACACACACACTCCCCTACCAACAAGTGCAGACACATTGATTCCACCAGACATCAGAAGCACAGCAGGATGGAAGTAGTGGGGGTCGTACTGTATTTCAGATGATGTCTGGGTTGCGTGTCTGGAGGAAAGGCGCAACGATACTACACAACTCTGTGTGTGTGTGTGTGTGTGTGTGTGTGTGTGTGTGTGTGTGTGTGTGTGTGTGTGTGTGTGTGTGTGTGTGTGTTTGTGTGCGACAAGTAGATAGTGAAGGCCTCCTGTGCTTCACTTCCCTGCGTCTCAGTCTCAGACTTGCATAGGTACTTTCCACTTCTAGGGTTACTCAGCAGGTTTCAACAGGTCTGCTGGCAGCTCACTACAGGAGTAAGAAAGTCATTACACCATAAGACATGAGTCTGTTTGTGTGTGTGTACCATCATGTCTACTCCACTTCTGCTATATGACACATCAAAAAGGTAGAGGAGTGCTTTGTCTGAACCTGGCAAGGTGGTTCAAAATATATGGTGTGAGGGAGGAAGCACTATCTCAACACCAAATGCGTAAATGTTCATGAATTAGTACTGAGATTGTAAGTCAGATAATTATCATTACGTGACTCATTGATGGGGATCTTGGAGTAACATTAGTCAAAACCCCCATTTGGAAGTGATTCATAATACGGGGGGGGTGTAATAGAAATGTTCCCCTCCTTCTTTGTTATAATTGTTATAAAATATTTTTAGCTACTGGCTCATATGCTGCAGGGCAAATAATTTGACCTTCATCACTGGCATGCTTGGAATTTTTTTCAATATCAGTGTTCTTTATTGGTAATTATTTATATGTTAATTAAATAATAAAGCAGACCGTTGTAAACTACTTTAATGTCTCTGTCTGGGTGTTGACGTGGCTGCTTTTAAAAGGAGAATGTGACGTGTATCTGGTGTTAAATTCATGTAGCTCTCTATTAATTCAATCCGTCTCAGTCATACAAACAGAGAACCACCTTTTTTAATTTGACATTATAGCAGCCTATTTGATAAACTTGAGGGGTCTTAGTCTGGTAAAATAGGTTTTTGTTTTCCTCCATTGTATGAGTTGACTGATAATAAGATGTGATCTATCAGAAAATACAGCTCTATGTATAAAAACAGGATTTAGACAAGGGAAGAGCAGCGTTCATCCAGTAGGAGGAAGATGAGAAGCATCATCAATCTTTATATACAGTCTATGGTTCAAATTCCATGAGAGGGCTTAGTACATTTGCCCTTCTTATCCCTATTTTGCAAGTGTCCACAAAAAGAAAGTTTTATATGCACCGTTAACAAAACACTATTAATAAGAGCAATAAAGTGCTCTTATTAAGAACGAAGTTGATCCCTGCCCCGATGCAAGGTCACCAGACAATTTTCCTGTGGTCAGTTTTGATTAAACAAGTGTTCCCCATTACTACACTTGTTCAACTCCCATGGAGCAACAGGACATGCAGTCTGGATGGCTATTACCCCAAAATAACTTTGGAAAGGTGAGGATAAGCATCTTTGAAATAAGGACATACCTAAATGGAAGTGGTGGTGTTAGACTTTATATGATTGTTGTTAGTTGATTGCTTTTTAATGTTAATTATTAACTTATAATGCTTTTTCAGTGACTCTTCTTTCATTTGTATTTTCAGAGAGAAAAAAGAGAAAGGGGACCAGATGGTGACCCTAGAACAAACTTGCTAAACCTTCGAAGTCCTTTCGGATTATGGATCACACCACTCCACATTGAAACCTTTAGCTATGTGGCCTATGGCGACAAATATGTTTGCATTTGGAAAATCACATGCAGTCGTGTTGTTCATTAGGACGATGGTTTTCTCTTGACCTGTTGACCTTATCAGGAAAACCTCAGGTGCTGGTGAAGCTTTCAGCGTGTTGTTTGGCCTCATGTTTTGCTTCTTGTTTAGTTTGGAAAACCTCCAGATCGTGGTAAATGGTGCATGGGGTGAGGATTGAGGGTATTGAAGTAAAGGAAAAATGCCATGATTGTTTTTATATTCCCGTTTTGCATGACTGGACGTCCGATCTTCGCTAGGGAGAGAGAGAGAGAATTGTATAAATACTTTACAGAGATATCATCATTACAGTCAACCCTCCCTTCTCCTCTTCTCTAAAATAGGACCAGATGTGTTCATGCTCATGTCAAATGTGAAATGAACCTGATCATTTATTTGGTTGAAAGACTTTGAACTCATAGTCAGCCTTTGTGTGGGCTCACAGCCTTCAGTCAAACGAAGGGTTTTGCTGAGTGACTGAGCTGGAAAAATCCACAAATGTTACATACAGGTCACCTTTTTGCACTATATCAACACTTGCTTTCTGAGTTTGCACTGTAACATGTGTATAAAAAGGCATTTTATAATAATTGATTGAATGCATATGTAAATGTCAAATTAAAAATCAATGAGAGAATCAAACGATTTTACAGTTTACTACTACTACTTCTACTGGTGTCTTCTGTGTGAGTGTGTGAGTGAGTGAGTGCAAGCGACTATTCTGAGCTCAGAAATAAAGGATCATCCCCTCTTCAAGCCAGCAGGTATGCATCTTCTGGCACAGCTGCATGCCCTGCTGGACAGACCGTCATCTCATGTTACCCCGCGGTCTTCTCCTCTACTTTGAACCTGACTCACTGCTCCTTTTCCAAAACAAAGCCCTTGGGGGGCTAAAAGGAAACTGAGTGACAGGGTCCCGTGTGGCTGATCCCTTGGAGCGATAGGTGGGGGTCCAGCTGTGGAAGAAGAAGGCTTCTTGTTGGAAACTAATTGAAATAACCTGGTCTGCCGGACATGGAAGGCTTTGAAGTTTTTTGCTGCATGTGAAAAGCAGTTGCGCAATGCTCCTGCAGACACTGGTTCTTGCTGCTCGGCCACTCTGAGGGACTCTTGGGACGCTATTGTTTTTGACATAAAAATGCATTCATGTCCTTTACGAGCATAAATAAAGACACGTGCAACTACTTCATGTGTGGTGTTACCCAGTAATAAAACAGGTTCTGATACCCTCACAAAGGAGGAGTAAGCCTTCCTGTGCGACACTGTCTGAGGTCTTTTCACAAACTCAGCTCAGATTTGACTTGCTTGCTGTATAATCTCCTAAGTGGGTGCAAATTTCCCTGCTTTCATGTGTCAGTCAGTGCTTTCAAGAGAGGCAATGGAGCAAGCTGCTGCGTCTGTTTGCAGAGTCAGATGCTGATTAATTGCGTACGGATGAAAGTAGAGGGTTTTCATCTCTGTGGGGCCTGTTCTAACCCCGAATGTTTATGCTTGCTTATCACCCCAACAACCCAGTGTAATTAGTTCAATCAAATTCAAACACAAGTAAATGCTAATGTGTTCTGTGGAAGCCTGTTGCTTTCACGTGGGACTTTTCCCATTTCTCAGATCTGCTCTACATCCCTGGATTATGAAGAAAGACTTCTGAAGTGGCTTTTGGATGAGGCTTTTGTTTTGGGGGTGTTTTTTTTGTTTCATGTCAACTGCAGCTTTGCAGGTGTGCTTTGTCCCTTACCTCCTAATACCCCACGGTTGAGCAGCGCCTTCTGATGTTAACTCCTAATTTTAAGGCATAGGTTGAAATAGATGGATTTCAGGATTAAGGTGTTTGCCCAAACACAGAGGTTTGTGTTTGAGTTTGTCACTGGCAACCTGAACACTTACTGTTGGGGAGAAGATTTTTTGCAAAGTCAGCTAATCCTAGGTAAAACACAAGCTTGTTTTTTTCGGTTCAAGTTTTGTTATACTTTATTTAATTATTTCAATTATGTTATTAATTTAGTTCATTTTAAATCTTCTTTCCCCAAACGTAGGACAATCGTAAAACAAATAAACAATTAAAAAAATATATCTATACATCCATCTATTACAGGTAATCATTAAAATATAATAATAATGCAAACGTTGTGCTAATACAATGAAAAACATCTAAATTAAAAAGTTTAATTAAGTACTCATCTTACATTTTAAATAATAAGGAAACTAATTTGATCATCTCTAAGGTATTGTTATTTCACATCACCACCTTTATTTTGATATACCCAATATACTCTAATATGTTATGCATTTTATGAGTTCAATTCTACATTATTTGCCTTTTTGAGTTGTATTTCCCAACTAATTTAGTCTTGGCATGTTGTTTTTCCAATTTTCTACGATTAGCTTCAGCTCTGTGATCCTAAAGATTCAGAATATTCACAAGCTTAATTTACTCGGATCTGAAGCAATGTTACCAATCTTTTAAAGCTGTGACTACAGGCCTGCCAAGCATGCAGAACTCACACTGAAGTCCACTGTACGACCCAAAGCTCAACTTCTGTGAGGACTCAGACACAAACTGCTCTTGACATTAACACTCAGTATAACTTTATCACTCCCAGGCCAGCTACTAGTGTTCCACCTTCTCAGTCATAAGCATCAGAGGCTGAACTTCGTCCCCTGAGGCAATGTAATCCACTCAGCGACCGTTAGGACCCAAGGCTCATTTTTCATTGGAGTCAGTTCTTTTTATAATGGAGCACGTCACTCTCCCAGGCCACAGAAAAGGCAGATACCTCACTTTACTACACCACAGATGAGCGTAGCAGAGCAAAACAGACCCGGCATGCCCAATCCACCCATACAGATGTTCGTCCTAGGCCATGCCCAACACAGGAAGCCATTAAAGAGCAAATCAATCAGTCGGCACTGTGGAAACTGGGGGGACAAACCTCCATGGAAAGCTTGTGGAGGGGCACATTGCCAAGGGAGTGAGATGCACTACACAACTTGTACCAAATATAAATTCATTGCAGGCTCTTGGAAACTTGTGTTTTCATAAACACGAGAACTGGGTGGAAGCGATTTCCCCGATTTGGAGTGATTCAAATGCAAAGCGGTGGAGGGCACTGACAAAAGAGAAGGGAGAGGAGAAAATAAATAAAGAATTGTTAGCGATTGCCTTTTATTTGCCTAGAGGGGAAATATTTTCAAAGCTCATTCTCATCCTGAGAAATCATTTTAGTGGTGATAATCCTCCAACAACATTCCCCTCTGATTTCTCAAATGAAAAGGAATACAAACCGTTTTCAAAATCTTTTATGCACGGGTCTACTGTTCTCATGAATAAAGATGTGCATCACGGCACTTTTTCACAGAAAGTGAAGATGAAGTTGTGCTCTGTCCTGGTTGTTTGTTTCCCTTTGAAGAAGTTCATTGCTTTCAGTTTCTCCTTTCACTGATCTCCAGATCGCTTTTTTTTACCAAAGCTGACCTCAACCTGCAGACCTTGTGATTTGGTTTCAAATGATTCGATCAGATCCCATTTACAGCCAAATGTTTTATTGTTGTGTGGTCTTTTTTTTACTCAATACTGAGCTGGCAAAGGCAATAGATCTCTTAGGATTTGGCATCTCTTGTGTTTTCAGGAACAGATTTTTAAAAATTTAAATGTAATTCAAGTCATTAATTTATTGGCATGTCACTGCCAGACTGCCTATCGGAGGGAGCACCTTCAATCGCTAGATGTAATCTGTCAAAGGATATCTTTATCCCCATATACCTTAAGTCTCAGTATGTAAAGCTGAATGAGTAATTGACTCTAGATTTATGATAGCACCTGTATGTTAGCACAAGTAAACTGTTCCAGCAGGCATGGGAATTCCCATCAAATCCAGCTCCAGAATCCCCCAGATCATCAAGAACTTTGTTCTTGCCATCAGAGATAAAGCTTTGCAATCCTCCCCAACCATTACACTTAATGATCTGCTTAACTAGCCACGTTATGCCAAAGCTAGTTCCAAGAAGAAAGACAACTTCAAAAGGCACATATTCCTCCATGCTTGGTTTGTGTTTTCCCCCTTTCTTCTTCTTATCATGCACTGTGGAACTTGTCTGATGCACAGATATGATAAAGGAGGAATTAAATCCTGCTCTGTGTACGTGGAGTTTCATCTAAGGATTTGTTTGTGTGTGTCTGTGGTTGGGTGTGTGTGTATATAGTTTGAAGTCCTGTCAGTAGTACTACACAGACACCACACACATACAGTGCACATATCTTTCAAGTGAAACCATATCAGTTGATGCTAGTCCAAACTTGCCTCTGTCTCATCTTTTTCATTTACTGACATTAGTGCCTCAATTAAGAAACATCTTAATATTCAGTGATTGCAACATGTAGTTCTTTTTCACAATGATTTAATCTGGTGCAAGTAGGCTGTTAGTCCGCTCAGTGTATATCCTATTGATTTGAGTGCATGAGATGACAAACTGTTTATGTAGATATTTACTCACTTTCAAGACTTCTGCACTCAGTTTTCTATCTAGTTAGCCCTCATTCTCAGACCCTAGAGGCAGGTATTGTTTACTGTCTAGACACACTTGCTTGTGGTATCGCTGAGTGTTCATCTCTGTGTGTGTCTGTGCATACTGTATATCTGCTTGTGAATGTGTGATTCATATCACAGGGGCGTTGAAGGTCCTTTATTTTTTCCTCCCAGTCTTATTATGAATTCTCACCGCTGTGTTTCATCATTTGTTGTCTCTTCCTGAACCGACAAGGTCAGAGAGCTCATAAATATTCATATGCCTGTCCTCGCTCTGCCCTGTGCTAATTTAGAAGACACAGCAGCCACAGCATCATCAGATTCATTTCTTGTTATTGATATTCATTGATATTCTCTTAGTCTCAGTCCAGTCATTCACACTGACTTCTGAATGGTTGACCACTCACTGGTTATTGGTTTAGACAGTGACAGTCAACATGCTCTTCATACAGTGTAGTAGAGTACAGTGAAGACAGTGGCCGTCCATATAAACATTTCAGTACGCAATGCAGGTCTTTAAAAAGCATTTCCTTTAAGTTTGAAAGAGTAAGATATAAGTGTAAAGTATAGAACTGAAGCGATTCATAGTTAATCATTACAATGATTGTTTAAGCCAAAATGTAAAACATTCACTGGTTCCAGTCCCTCAAATGTGAGGATTTTGTGCTTTTCTCTGTAATATATAATATATTTATATTGTAAATTTAGCTTGAATCCTGGTCTTTAGATTTTTGACTGTCTGTCAAAACAAGGAATCTGAAGGAAAATGTTGTATTGTATGGAACTGTCATGGGCATTTTTTCCACAATGTTTTGACATTTTATACTGTAGACAAAACAATTAATGAAGAAAATAATTTGCAATCCTTCATGAATATACTCATTTTACCCTATTTCACCTATGAACATTTTATGGCATATTTTCAATACAATTGCTTATGTGTGATAAAAGTGTGATGAGTTTTTTACATTTTGCTACCACCAACATACACCTCAGTATGTGCTGACTAAAAGGTATTACTGCCAAGATATTTATTTAATGGACCAGCGTGCAGGATTTAGTGGCATCTAGTGGTGAAGGTGTGGATTGCAAGTAACTGAACGCTTGTGTAGTGTGTAG